AGATATATTTAAATTGCAAACACAAACTTGAACTAAATTCAATTATTTAAAACGCCTTTTACAAAGCAAAACTGAAGCATTTCCTTCGCTGTGATTTACTGAAATGGTAACATTACATATAAAGGAAAGATACTTATGATATGCTCTCAAAGTAAACGTTCCTTACCTTCCTCAGCTTTACCCAGAGCGCTTTTAATTCGCCTCTCTGCTACCATCAGAATAGACTCAAAGTCCATGGCACACATTAAAACACACCTGAAAATTCCCGCTTAAGATCACTTCGTGGATGAAAAAAGAAACATCCACTTCTTAAATTCTCTGAACTCCGCCCAATGGGGGCCTCAAAAGTGAACCCATACAGCAACACTCACTGAGAGTCCCACAGATAGGGCGACTGTGTCATGGAGGGCTGTCATCAGGCAAAAGGTTACCAAAGACGAGGTAGGGATGAAGTCAGCTTAAGTGTGTGTGAAAGAGGTGGAGAGCAGAGATATGAAAAGTAGTTCCCACTATTAAAGGTTTATCTTTTTTAATGTTAAAGATCATTAAACATGTTTCAGTACCAGAAAGAAACAGCCTGGATTTGCATAAAAAGCAAGTTTACAAAAAGATGACCGGGCAGAAATTATAGGCTATTGTTCATAACCTGATCCAGCAAAGCAGTTACAGACCACCACACTACCACCACCGTGTCTGACTTATGCTAGATACAGCAGGAGTAGTTTGTCATTCAAAATGTTCTGTAGCTGCATTTCAATTACAATTTCTTGAAGTAGAAAGTTCTTGTGTAGGGAGATTTATTTTTTCCACCATGTCCAATAAAGAAAATAATTTCTGATCTTGTCATTCTGTCCTATTAAACAGTTTCAAAACAAACTGAGTTGTCGTCAAGAGTCTCCCTGCTTCTTATCATTCAGCCTGTGAAACCCCTTCTCAGTGAAGCCTTTGATGCCCTGCTGCTTTCTAAGTGCCCTTGGAAATGTAACACTCAGCACTCAGCCTCTGATGGCAGATACCTGCAGCTAGAGCTGTCCAAACACACGCATGCCTGCACACAAACACCCGTCCACCCCCCGGTTCTCCTCTTTGCTCTTTGCATCACTGCGTCAGTCTGAAAATTTCAGCGTTTCCGCCACGCGACGCAGCTACTATTGGATCAACGATACTTTTGTTTGACAAAGAAATATTCCTGTCATCTGTGTGCTGTGTTATTGAAACAGAAATGCATTCATTTTGGAGGGCTGTTTCCAGCTTCTTAAAGTTGGAAACAGGATTGCATGGAAATTCTCTACTGCAATAATGTTGAAGAGAACAATCCAGCAAAATGCTGAAATCTAAAAACTTCCTTTCAAGTAGAATATTATGTTATAAAAAAACACAAAGTTTTGCACAGTTGTGAAGTGGAAGGAAAACGGTACATACCTAATTTTAAGTGTTTAATTTCAGCTAATTTATCCAGGCAGTTCTGTCAAGCTCAGTTAGTTTATTGGGAATATTTCTGCAAACAATCTTCCAAGTCTATAAATTAGAATATGATGGACTTTGACAATGTTATCTTGATCTAGCCCAATTTCTGTCGTTTTGGGTTCAACCATCGACAAATTACACTCCAGGTGCAGTTTCCCTGGTTTTTCAGAACTCAGAGCGAGACGGGGAAGACTTAACTTATCATTTAATAAAGAAGGAAAATGTGTTATTGCACATAAAGCCAAGAAATTTTGTCTATCAAAGTCTAGCTTACAGCTACAAAAATGTGAGAGAGCAGCGTAAAATGTCTTTGACAAATAAAATTAAAAGCAATCGTTCAAAAGTCATTTAGCCTGAGAACAAAAAAATAATAACCCTAGGCAAGTCGGAACTGTGTTAACCATTGAGAGACAAGAACTACTATACATTTTATTTTAATGCAACGCAATTTTCTGCTCCAGAATTCTGAATCCTGACATTAACATATGTAGGATCTACAGCAAACTTCCTGCTGTAGATAAGTGCTTCCACTTGTTTTTCAGTCTGCTTACGTGACATCTAACATACCAGACTGACATAAAATATTATAACAATAATAATATTGTATTAAATTACAAATAAAAGTGGAGCACTTTTTTGACACAGAAATATTTCTAGAACAAAGAATAATTCTGTTACTGATGTAGAAATAGCTTCACACTTGTCACACATCTGCCAAAAACATCTAGATGATCCTCAGACCTGGATGACTTGATCCAGCAATGAGTCACTGGCACTTTACATCACAGCATTACAGTGATCCAAAGCAGAGGTTTTGGAATGGCCTAGTCAAAGTCTGAACTTAAATGCTGTGGAATTCAGCCTGCTTAAGATAAAATAAACTCTAATGGGATTAAAATGATTCTGATAAGAAGAGATAACCAAATTTCCACTAAAGTGATGTAAAAACACGCTTGTTTCTTTTTTTAAGCAGCTGTTAGATTTAAGGGGAAACATGTTTTAACATAAGATGCTGATTTGGGAATTTTGTCATCATGAGGTCTGCCCCTTTCTAGTTGCACCAGTTAGAACAAATTATGAGTTATTTAATTGTACTACAAGAAATACTACCAGGATGCCATCTTTGCTAGAAGAATTTGTTTCCAGGTCCGATTATATAAAAGATGACGTATGATGACGCTAATTTTCTTGCCCACTTTGACATGCAGGACATGATGAGTCCAGGCAAAAACAGACCAGTCCAGCAAAGTCATCTTTGTGCAGACTCAGTGTGTTTGGACAACAAAACCCATGAACTAATGAGGGCGCTCACACACACACACACATATCTAAACCAAAACCCCACGGGTGACTTCAGAGGACAGACGTCATGGGGATTCTGTCCGCTCATCATATTCAAATGACGTAATGGCACGCAAAGACAATCCAGAAGGACAAATTTAAGCTTGGAGAAAACAGCAAAGCTTTCCCTCTGATCACTCAGTGACTCGACTCTGAACGTTGTTGAAACTGAAAACATGAGCTACCAAATGGAGTTCATTTGTGACTGAGAGACTGTTGGTTCCAAAAACAGCAAGATCCCGCTGCTGTACTACAGGATTTGAATAAAACATAAAGCATGAAGCCTGAACAGCAACTCTCCAAAGAAGATGGGTAGATACACACGGATGAATGGGAGTCCACGCCTGCATATGCTATTAAAGGTCTGGGGAACAATCTTGTGCCTTATTGCTTCCAACAATGAATGTGATGGGTTCATCTGCAGGAAACAGGAATTGGACTCGTGGAAATCCTCCATTGCAATAATGTTGAAGAGAACAATCCAGCAAGATGCTGAGTTTTGTAAAAATAGACGCGTACATTAAATTTAAAGACATGGCAACAAGCAGCCAGATGGTTTTCAGAGTTTGTCTTTAATTAAAAGCAGAAAGCCAGCAGCTGAACTGAGGAAGCTGCTGGAAGATTATGAGCCGAGCGGCAGGATGCTGCTGGGATAACTTGTGTTTCTCGGAGAAGCAGCACTTTTTATGGGTTTTGTACGCGAGTTTGTGTGCGTGGGCGGGCGAGATAACATTTTCATCAGCTAATTGCAGAACATGGCAAAACAATGCATGTAAGAAGCCAAGTTTCTGAGCCACTCTTTCCAGCTATTCCCACAGAACTGTGGCTGAATCGAAGGCAAGCAAACGAGATCTAACTAGAAAACATTAAATCAAATGGGTAGTCCTAAAAAGCAGGGTGTAAAATATGAATCAGATTGAAAAGCAATAAGTAAAATCTGCCAGAGGTGTTTGTTAAAAAGCAAACCGAAGCAGTGTGGTGAAAAGTTTCCGCTTGTGCATCACATGGCTGCTTGTGTTCCCCCCCCCCATAAACGCTGCAAGTCTGACTTCAAGGACCTTCATCAAATGAACAAACAGGAAGTAATGAGAAGAAATTCAGCCAAAGCCCAGAGGGGAAAGAAAAACATGCACTCATGCAGTGTCTTTTTGTTGTTGTTCTTCTATTAATTACAGGCTGCAGGGTTTTGAAAGGAGGACAAAAACAGTTTGAGTGGTTTAGAAGGACCATTTCCAGACTTTACCACAAATACTCAAGTATTTGTGGTAAATACTTTGTGGTAGATACTTTGATCTAACTTGACAAAATGTTTGCAGCCAAATGTATGAAACTGTCTAAAGCACAGACCAGGGTAAAGCAAACACTCCATAGAGACTTTAAAGGCTGCTGTCCGTGGTGCTGAATCGTTCTGAACTCTCCAAACTCTGAAAGGACAGTGCTCTGCAATCACTCATCCAAAAGATATGGCTGTTTGCCATGAAAGGACAAAGAAAAGACACATCGCCACTTACGGCTGATCTCATCATTACCGCACAGAAACACTGGTTGCATTTTTATTCTCTGCTCTCGGCCGTGTGATGTCACACATCTTGGAGCTTTCACATCACTTCAGAGAGCATTGACTTAGTTTGTAGAAGAGTTTGCTGAACTCTACAAAAGTTTCCTTTTTATGTCATTTAAGAGATTAAATGATATAAAATCATATTTTGGGCTCTTATGTTGTCCTCCAAATCCTCTATGGCAGGACACACCAGCCATCTTTCTAAAAAGTCAATATGTCAATACTGTGAGCAGTTCCCACTGTCAGTCCATCACAGAGCAGACAGTGGAAAGTCTGCAGCATTGCTCTCTTGGGAGCATGATTTGTGAGTTTCAGGAGATTATTATGACGAGCATAATGCTTGATGTAAATTTAAATGATTGAAAAGTTCAAATTTGGGGTTTGCAACATTTACAACTGAGAACACAGGAGAAAAAAAGTTTCTCTGCATTATTTCTGCTCCATAAATGTGGTCTACATATTAGTATTGCTAATTAGTTTGCATCATCAGCCCTCCCCTTTATAGAGCTGCCACTTGCTGTCCATGCTACTGCAGAGAAAGCCCAGTCCTACATGCACAGGTCAACTCCATCATAAACACTTTTACAGTCACTTTGTCGTGTTACAGGTACACACGTGCAAACAAACTCACCAGTTGGGTTACTGGTTTTCTTGAGGCTCCTGCCACAAAGACACTGCAGCATATGCGATCCTTTGCTGAAAATGTTGTTCCAAATAAACCGCATGGATTTGGCCGAAACGGGGGAGGAAGAAGAGGAGGAGGAAGACGAGGAGAAGGAAAAAGAGAGGCGCTCCGGATGCGGCAGCCTAAAATTCACCCACCGCATGGGGGCTGATACACCCCCCTGTTTGCATGCCAGCAGAACCGGCCAGCTGTCGGGCTCAGTTCGGCGGTGCGGCGCGCCCCCGATCTGCACCATAGACAAAAGTAAGAGCAGGAAGCCCAGCTCTTCGCCCGGATTCTCGCCCGCTTTCCCCGCAAGCTCGGAGACCACCAGCCGCACGTATTCCGCGTCGACGTCGCCCCCGTGCGGCTGGAAAAGCGCAACCGCTGCGGCGGTTGTCTCGTCGATCTCCGTCTCCTGCTGCCCCAGCGGCCGGTGGTCCTCAGCTGCGGAGGAAGAGTCGCTACTGCTACTGCTGCCGCGCGGCCGCCGCGGCGCGAAAAGCCCCAGAGCGCTTCTCTTCAGATGGCGTCGTCTGCCGCGCGGCGCGGGGAGAGGAGCGGCGGCGACGGTCAGGCATGCGGCGGCGCTAGCGTGAAGTCGGCTGTACGCGGCAGCTGTCTGCTTCTGCACAAAAAACCATTGCATATTAGTGGGGATCGCAGGGGGTCGATGCGTCCGTCCGTGCGGGAGGAGGGGAGGAAAGGGAGGCGGGGTGCGGAGAACCTGCCGGGTGTCCGTCAGCAACTCGGTGGCATCACTCCGACCGTGCGGCAGGAAAGTGCTGCAGCGGGGGGGCTCCTTTCCAAACACACACACACACGCACTCCAACACGCTGAGCGCACACGCTGGATGAACAATCAGCGGTGCTCCTGCATGTGAATCACTGCAGGGAATCTCTTACACTATCCCGTCTTGTGCTTTCCCTCTTTTTTAAAAAAATCCTTATGAATATTTGATCCGCGTTTCTCAATAATCCATAAACTCCAATGCGCCAAGATCCTGCTGCTGCTGTTGCTGTCTGTCTCTCTCCTCTCCGCCTCCTCCTGCCGCTCTTCCTCACCTTGGCAATAAAAAAAAGAAGCTGCGGGAGTCTGCTGGCTGTGGAGCCTTCAGCAGTCCAGAAACTGGATGTGGGGAAGACGCCGGAGCCCGGCGGTGTCTCGGTCCAGTCACGGGGCATCAGAATCCTCTCCAGCCGTGTTGAGGGGACCGACGCGACAAGGTGCATCGACTATCGAGACCCAGCCAGCAAACTAAGTGGAAGCGGTTACAGCGAACATCTGTTCCGGTTTGCGGCATCAAAATAAGACATGGCACCATCGATCCAATCATGCAGTGCACTCAGTGGTTTGGCTTGCAGAAGGAAGAAAACTGCAATGAGGAAGCAATTGTTGAAAGAAAGCCAAAACACGTCCGCTTTGAGTAAATCTTGCAGGAGAGGTTGACACACAAAAAAACCCTCCTAACTGCTAATTATTTTAAACACACCAGCCATATGGTGAAGCAAGGTGATGGCCCCATCATGCTGTGGGGGGAACTTGGACAAAGTTAATGACGCAAAATGCAGAAAAATCCTGGAAGAAAACCTGTTGCAGGTTGCAGAAGACTTGAGGTTGGGGCTAGATGTTCATCCTCCAGTTCAGCCAACTCAACAAGGGAAGGATATGTGCTAAAATGGCCTAGTAAAAACATAGACCTAAACCCAATTGAGAAGCTGAACAAGCAGATTGGACTTTGGAGATTTGACTTGACGGAATGGGAAAAGTTCGAGCAGTATGAATACTAATTTACTGCCTTACATTTATTTCAATGTCAAAGCTACTTTGCTGCATGATTTTAAAAAAAGCCTGATAATGCTAAAAATACTTTTGTTTCTGCTGTTTTTTTATTTATTTTTTTTTTTTTTCAAAACCAGTCTGTCACACTTTCTTGTTTTAGTGCACATCAGTGCAAACAACCTAAGCTCTTGGTCATGACTTTTATTTTGAAGGAAGCAGCTACCTCCGGCTTTCTTGTGCAGCTTGCTGCAGCACAACTGGGGTGGAGGAAGTTTCCAGTTAGTGAAGACACGTGGTTCCCCACACTGACAACCAGAGAGAGAGAGAGAGAGAGAGAGAGAGAGAGAGAGAGGAGGCATGCGGTGCAGAGGCATTACTCATCCAGAGGGAAAACCGCGTTTCCTTCTTCTGCAGAAGCTCCAAAACTACTCTCAAAATCCACAAGCAGTGTATGTTGTTGGCAACCTGTTGCACGACTTGTTTGCATCAAGATGGTCAAGTTCTGATAGATTAGAGTGCCTCATCTAATCAGTGTTTTGTTTTCCGGTTTGCTTGAACAAGCAGGATGTGTTTTTTAATCAAGAAGAAACACAGGCTTGTGCCTTAATCAGTGCTGTGGTTTATTTATTTATTTATTTTTTTTGTTGGGAGCTCAGTGTGCTGCAGTGATTGTTCACTCAGAGCCAAAACTGGCATTGTCCACAGTGCTGAATCCACACATGCTGCTCCAGCAGCAGGCATCCACATACTGAGAACCCAGTGAAGAAATTAATAGGTTCTAAACTGGTTTATTTCCCAGAGAGGCAGAAAATGTAAAAAGAACATTTATTCTCTAGTTGGTGTCCTTTGTTGAATCATGTTGACACCAAGACGACAAAATACTAAACATACAGCTACAATGTAAAGGTTTAGATCAAAGCGTAAGCATATGTTAGACTGGTTTAGTCAAAGTAAAGACTGACAGTTAAGTCCAATGTTGTTTATGGACAGACAGAGAAACGAAAGAATTCATCAGGAAACAATGAGAAACGAACTTAAATACTGAGGCAGGGGTGGAAAATGGCGAAAGAAACTAGATGAGCTAATCAGAGGAGATGTGGGAGAGCAGCGCCAGAAAAACAGAGTAGAAACTGAGGGAAGGAGATAAATGAACACAAAACGAGATGAACTAAGACTGAAAAGGTCTACAGACAAAAACAGAAAAGTTCTGAAACTATCGTGAGAGAATAAACCAAAATGCATATGAAAGAACACATGAATTATCTAATGTGACAACACCTCTCCAACAAATAATAAACAGAGAAATAAACTGAGTAGGTCAACCTCTATCAAATGTAAATAAAGTAGGAAAAGATCAAAACTCAAACAACCAAGGATCATGACGCAAAGCTCCACAAGCTCAAGCTTTATTCATTATGATGTCACAATTCTGTCAAGGTCTGCAGCAGAGATGGAACCAAAAGGAAATAGTAAGTCATGCATGCATGTGTGCATTTTAGTTTATGAAAAACTTACATCAGAGTCCAACTTTAGAAGAAACTAAAACCACTGGAAAATGTATGGGTTTCATTGCACAGACTAGAACAATATTCTTAAAAATCTGAATAATCCTAAATAAAAATGCAACACCTGCATCAATCTATCACTGAAACGGGATTGAAATAAATTGTTTTTTATTCACAGTGATCACACTAACCAATAATAATTAACCTTACTGCTGTGAACAATCCGATGGCCAAGTGTATCTTATCAGCATATTTTAAAACTGAGCTAGCTGAAATTACTGCCTGATGATAAAACTTCTGAGAATAAAAGTGCTTACAACCCCAGCAGCTTGGTCACAAATGTATAGAACATTTGAGTCATAAATAAAATGTGTTTTATATCCCCCTAAAGTGACCGCACTTACCCCTGAGTGGCAGATTTGTGGAATGAGAGCCTCTGTGGGAGTTGTGGCTTTGCACATTGCTGTTGATATATTGATCTGTTGGCTCAGATAGAAAATTAAAACTCAGACTTCTTCCAGGCCAGGCCATATCAGATGACTGCAGGCCACAGCTTAGTGCAACTCTAGTAGGTTACTGCTTAGGGCTTCACATTTTGTAGCTTAAATATTTCTCAAACTTAAAAACTTTTGGAACAGGTCTGGGGTGGGCAATTCCAGGACGCGAGGGCCGGTCTCCTGCAGCTTTTAGAGGTTTCTACTTCAACACACCTGAGACTCTGCCCTCCAGAGTCATTAGCAGAACTCTGGAGAACTTGACTGCATTCAGGAAGTGACTGAACGATTTGAGTCAGCTGTGTTGGACCAGGGAGACATCTAAGAGTCTTGCCCAACCCTGGAATAGGCTCTACATCTTCCCACTTTTTCTATTAATGCCAAAGATAATCAACAGGATTATTGTATTTAACTCTTAATCTGATGGCATAGAAAGATACATGAATATCAATAAAACCTGCAACGATTACATGTTGCACCTCTATGTTCCCTGTGGCTTTTGAGAAACAAATAATCCAAATCTATGTGAACGTATGTCATCTGCTGTCCATATAAGATAACTACAAGTGCATGAGGCGGTGAGTTTTTCAACCTCCACCTTACACAATTCTAAAACAAAATACTTTGCGACAGTCTCATAAGAGAAATCTCTGTTATTTGAATTATTTTAATTGTCAAATAATTTCTGTGTACATGAAAATACACAAAAAAAAAAGTTCATATGTGGCAGTGCTCAACCCACACACAAAGCCCTTAATAATCAAGATTCCTTGTACATCAGAAATCTGATTGGTCCAAATGTTTCTAACGAGGGAGAGAAAAAGGAGAGGAACAACACTAAGAGACATTTGGCATAATAGAGCTCGAAGCTTTACCACTACTGGTTGACACTGGCATCCGCACTTAGGTGCATGAGGTGGACACAAATTGCAGGTTTTAGGAAATACCTGCAAAGGGCTAGAACTGCTGTTCCTTGTCGCCCTCATGAGACTGCAGAAAAGGACTGAAACCCAACACATAAACTGGATTGAACTGAATAACTTTTTAAAAAAAAAATTTTTTTTTTTTTTTTTGCTTCAGTAAAGCAAATACAATGTGCTAAAATAACAAACTTTCAGGCTAATTGAATGTAAACATGTATCCAATTTGTCTTTTTGTTTTTTTTTTTTTTTGTACCTGCAATTAAACTGTTGACCAGAAGGGGCAGCGTTGCATTACGATGGCTACTAAATCACACAAAGAAGAAAACCGTCAATAAAAAAAATCCAGAAGACAAAGAAGACGGGCAGTTGATCCCAGGCAACTGTCTCTATTTACAAAACCCGGTAAGCGATTCTTGCTTTGTGAATGTGTAAGGAATATTATAGAAATGTTTTTATATAGACAGGGCAGAAACAGAAATAGCGTTACTCTATTATTTCCTGTCTAGGGAGATGCTTCAGGTACTAAGAGCTCGATCAAAATTCTTAACTTCCTAAGCTAATGATGCTTAATTTACCTTCACCTTGACGTGGTGCCTCACACGACTTATTAAAATATAAAAAGGTGTTTTGCTTTTTGCTTGAAAGGAGAAAACCTGAGAGAAATGACGCAACTCAGGAGTTGCCTGCTTATCTAGTTGTACAACATGTTTCTCATGGCTTTTAAGAGACCTGATGGCTTTTAAGGGAAGATCCTCTGCAGCGGTCTGTTAAATGAAGTTTTACAAAAAGGATAAAAGTTTCACGAATCCCAAACATGGTTTTAAATATCCCACTATTAAAGCAGAATAAACCAGTCCAGGTTTGAAGAGACCAGGTGTTGTAGTTTTTAAACTAGAGTCAATTGAAGAGGAGATTCTTAGTAGTGATAAACTATTGCTTAATTGAATAGTTAATGAAGGAAGAGGAGCTGGATTAGAGTTACTCAGCAGTTTTGATGCATGCTATTCATAACTATGTAATTACAGTCTAAACTAGGAATGCTGATCTAAAGGACAAGCTTTGTTTCTAAGTTTTGATTGATAAATGATGCTCTGGGTTTTGACACTGTAATAAAAACAAGAGAATGTGTAAAAGTGTTTTCTTTGTTTTAACCATCTCTTCTTTTCTGTCTGCAGGAATGCTTCTCCGCCTTTTAACACCCTCCCTTCCCCTAATAGGTCGCACTCCCACAATTTTCCTGAACTCTTTTATTACTGACTTTTCCTCATCATCATTGCGGGGGAACTAAAATTAGCAGCAGTCATGGTAGATGTCAGTAAATGGCCCCTGTTCTCGCTGCTGAGCAGTGAGGAGCGAGCCACAGTCCGTCAGGCCTGTATCTTTGGGACATCGGCAAACGAAGCTATCTATGTCACTCAAGAAAATGACGTGAGCATAAACTGTTTTAAGTTGCACACACGAGAGCATACAGTGTCATTTGAAGGTATTCACATGTCTTGTACTTTCTCCACACCTTATATGTATTTTATTGTGATTATTATGACATGGACCAGGTGTCTGGGTTTTATAAAAGACTGGCCATTGTCAAAAAGAAGTGCTGTTTGTCGTTTGCAAGCCAAGTAAGCATGGTGCGCTGTGACATGAGACCAAATGAGGCTTTATTCTCACATGCAAAATGCTGCGTGGGGAAGAAAATGAACGCTGCACATATCCCTAAACAGGGTGGTGACAGCTGCAGGTGTACTTGCTCTTCAACAGGGACAATCCTGAAGGAAAATCCTTCCACATTGCTAGTAGGTGTGGAGGAAGCTCATCTTTTGGAGCTACTTGAAGTTGCTCCAACAGAATAAATGAGCTTATTATGTGAAATGCACGTATTTTATTGTATCCTTTGTATAATTCTTTATTTTTAGGTGTATGCATTTGGTCTAAACTGCAGTGGCTGCCTTGGGACAGGTGACAGTGTGAGCACCATTGTGCCAAAGAAACTGGACTTCCTGCAGGGGAAGAAGATTGTCAGCCTCAGCTATGGCAGTGGACCTCATGTCCTGTTGGCTACAGAAGGCAGGTTATTACATTCAGTTAGTATGTGTTTTGCTCCTTTAGCGGTTAAGTGCTAACGTCTTAACAACCTTTAAATTTAAGTTGAAATCTTATGTCGTATGACTTTTAGAATCTATTTTTGTTGGGGTTTTTTCCCCATGTCTTGAGGGAAATAACGTAAACATGTGGAATGTCTCAGTAGTTTAACTATAAGCAAAACACCTTTAAGATTACTTTTCAATTGAGATTTTTTTCCTTTCAAAACGGGAATTTTAGGGCTTTTCTAGTCACATTTGCAAGACTTTAGTGACTTGATCACAAGCAAACAGTAATAACACTTTAATCTGGCTTGCAGACTAAAGTGTCACTTTGGTTTTCATGCTGTTTGTGTTTGTATCTTCTAAAATCACACAAGTAAAGGATGTATATCTGTTGCTGTCTCTCAGATGGACAGGTGTTTGCCTGGGGTCATAACGGTTACAGTCAGCTAGGGAACGGCACGACCAACCCGGGATTTTCAGCCGTGGCGATCACAGCGAACCTACAGAACAAGAAAGTGATGGAGGTGGCATGCGGCTCACATCATTCTCTGGCTCTCACTCACGACGGAGAGGTAAGCATTATTTTTATTATCGCCTTGCCTGTTATTGGTAATGTATAACATGTATTTTATTTATCCTACTACTTAATTAAATTGGTTCATTAAATAATGAGGTCACAGCAAAGGAATATAAAATAACTTGTACAATTTATGAAATGGAATAAACTGGTTGATTTAAAAAAAAATGCTAAAAAAATTTACACACAAATCTTCTATATTCTGTTTAAATGTAAACATTACCATCCTCCCCGAAGGTGTTTGCATGGGGTTATAACAACTGTGGCCAGGTGGGTTCAGGCTCCACAGCCAACCAGCCGTACCCAAGGAAAGTCTGCAGCAGCCTGCAGGGCAAGACTGCAGTGAGCATCACATGTGGACAAGCGTCCTCCATGGCTCTGATTGACAACGGAGAGGTGATGATGCTGTGTTTATTTTTCCTAATCCTTCTAAGAGCCTGAACTTGATACAGTGTTTTTGTACTTGTAGATTTACGGTTGGGGCTACAATGGAAACGGGCAGCTGGGAACTGGGAACAATGGCAATCAGCTTTCTCCTTGTTGCCTTACTACGCTTCAAGGGTTGTGCATTCAACAAGTAAGAACTTTCTAATTTGCTGTATAGTTTTTAAGTAATCATGGTATACAATTATTTAACTGCGTTGGTTGAATGTCAAATTCAACTCCAGTAGCTCTTTTCCTCTTGTCCAGATTGTTTCAGGATATGGACACTGCTTGGCCCTAACAGACGAAGGACTACTTTATGCCTGGGGAGCAAATACTTATGGTCAACTAGGAACTGGCAATAAGAACAACCATCTCACTCCTGTGCAAATCATGGCTGACAAAGAGAGGTAAAGTGGAAGAGAACGCATTTGAAACAAAAGATTCTTTTTCCATTTGGGATTTCACTTCCCTACTTCCTGTCTTTGTTTCCACCCTGTCTTGGCAAAATTATCATTTTCCTTTTCATGCCCAATGACTTCAGGGCAGATGCCCATCATGCGTTTCTGTGCTGTGTATAAATAAATCTGTAATCCTGTAGGGTTGTAGAGATTGCAGCATGCCACTCGACACACACTTCAGCAGCCAAGACTTCAAGCGGCAAGGTACATATTCTATTTTATCTTTGCAATATTTATGTATGGACAGAATTGTTCAGGAAACTTTTTTTTTTTCACAATTCATGTTAAAATGATCTATTTTTAAAACGACACACATCTACCTCGGAGGTTTTGACAGAGAAAATGTCAAAAAGGATGAAATGTTTAAGCTTTTCAAAGTCAAGATAACCAGAATATAATTGATTAATTCAGTCTAGTACTTATTAAAGTTTAACAACACAAACAAGATAAATCTTGCATGTAATCATTGAAGTTCATAGCAAGTCAAACTAAGAAATTTTCCCAATGATGCTAACTAGATCAATCCAGTTAGTCAAATTAGGAGATCATCAGAATCGAGCTATAAATGAACCCAGTCAAATTTAAAGTACTATTTCAAATACCTGTTTTTCAGGTGTACATGTGGGGTCAGTGTCGAGGCCAGCTGATCTCTCGTCCTCGCCTCTCCCACCTCAGCAGCACGGATGATGTGTTCGCCTGCTTCGCTACGCCCCCTGTGACGTGGCGCCTCGTGTCTATGGGTGAGAAAAATAAAACGATGAGGACGACTCGTTCACTGCGCCCTCCACAACTTTTTACACCCCTGGTAAAGATGTGTTTAAAAAAAACAACTAAATTAGTCTTTTATAGTAGTAACATATTCTCATACTGTAAATTTTAGAAAGTTCCATGCTTTCTTTATTTACAAACCCACAATTATTCGGACCCCTACTGTTCGCTGGAAATTAAGGGTAGAAGAAATCTAATGAATAAATTGTCTGTGAGAATTTACCATTGCCATCAAAGACGTATTTATTTTAAGGTTTCTTACTCATCTTTATCAGGTGTGACAGTAAATATTTAGTGTGCTGTATTCACTAAATATGCAATGAAATGAAGACCACTGAACTAGATCATTATTTCAGAGTACGATGACTTCATGACGATTTCTGAGGCTCTCAGGGAAGAGTTTGACTGTCCAGACACTGCCGACCTCAAGTTCAGCATTGATGGAAAATGCATTTATGTTCACAAAGCTGTCCTGAAGATCAGGTTTGTTTATTTCTGTCTGGGAATGAAACATAATTTGAATGTTTGAGCTTCTCTGTTGTCTAATTGGCCAGAGCGTCATTAGAAGAAGGGCGCACAAGCACCAGATAAAAATAACTAATGCCTTTCACCAGTACTCCAGCTTCTCCTCAGCCTAAATGAAGTTGTTCTGTGTGCTCTTAGGTGTGAGCATTTCCGCTTAATGTTTCGCTCCCAGTGGACAGAAGATCAGCAGGATGTGATCGAGATCAGCCAGTTCTCATATCCCGTCTACAGATCTTTCCTCCAGTTTCTCTACACAGACACTGTTGATCTGCCACCCGAGGACGCCATTGGTAAGACGAAACACACGTTTTCCAAATATGTCTGAGATTCTTTGTGTTCAGGGTGACGCATTTTCTAAAGTTTGTGTCTTTGGTTCAGGCTTATTGGATCTGGCTACGTCTTACTGTGAAAACCACCTGAAACGTCTGTGTCAGCAGATAATCAAGAGGGGAATTACTGTAGAAAATGCCTTCACCCTGCTGTCTGCAGCCATTCGATATGATGCAGAGGTAATGCTATTTGGAGAATTGCTCTCCATTTTAAACATTTTGTCCTCTTAATACCATATCTGATAAAATCTAATGTTTAACACATGACCAAAGCATATCATCTAAAGGATATTTTAACATGACTAGAGGAACATTAATGTACCGCTGCTTTTAAAACATGCAGTCAAAACTTCCTCCTTCAAATGTTTGACTTTTCCCACCTTTGCCGATGCAGCGCTTTACAAAAAATGTTCATGCCTTTTAAGATTTTCACATTTTTCATCCCAAATTGTCAAAAATATTTGTTTCTGCACATGCAAAGGCCCAAAAGATTTAATACCTTTTAATGGTATTAAAAGGTTTTCATGCAAAATATTCACTCAGAGGGCCTAAAAAAATTTGTTAAACCACTTCCCACCTATGTGCTACTCTAACATTCCAATAAAGTATATTTAAGTTGGTGGTGACAAAACTGAAGCATTATGACAACTTGCATTTCTCCAATTAGTGTGCACTTAAACAGACGCATCAATGAGGAATTGTCATTTTCTGTACGATTATTGTGACCAATGGTGCATATTTGGTGAACTGCATGAGTAATACTATCATCTAACCAGATTTTTTTTTTTTTCCAGGATCTTGAAGAATTTTGCTTTAAGTTTTGTGTCAACCACATGACTCGGGTGACTCAGACCACAGCTTTCTGGGAAGTAGACGGAGCCATGCTCAAAGAGTTTATCAGCCGAGCAAGCCGCTCTGGAGCCTTCAAAAACTGAGCATTGCTTTCTCACATTTTAAAACACCAGTGTGCTGCAGGATCAGCACGCCATACTGAACTGATGGTAGTCGTCTACGGATTTTAAATCAGCACTTTGGCCAATTCCTGTGAAGTCATTCTGAATGTTCATAAATATGAATATTTTCATGCTGCAAGTGTTCTCTTCCGCCATTTTCTTAGCCAGTTCTTACATTCCACTTTATTTAACTGCACAATGCATGTGAGAAACTGAAAGGCAGGAACAACAGTAAGTACTGTTCTGCAGCTCATCTTTGTGCTGCATTCGAAGCGCCAGGTTAAGCCACATTTGAAGTTTTAAATGATGACATTTAGATTAGTGCAGATTATTTGGTTGATTGTTACTGTTCAAAACGACTGTATTTTGGACTTTGCTCTGTAGCACCTAATCTTGCCTGCATTATTAAGTCAAACTTGCTTTTAAAAGAGATTTGAGCGTTTACTTTTAAATACTTTGCACTAGAATCTTTACTAATGTGTGCTGTTACAATGTTCTAAGATCCCTTGTTTCTCTGCTAATGTATATGTTTTGAAATTGATATAAAGCAATATTTGACATAACTTAATACTTATATTTATTAATGTATTCATACAGTTACCAAAGATAAAATAAGAATCCTGCTGCCTGGGTGTCCTTGACAAAAAAATAAATGTTATCGACCAAATTAATCTGAAGGAGGACTAAGGAAGAGCTGTTTTTCCTTTTCTCAATGGTCTCTTTATTTGGAATGAATTTGATTTTGGAGCTTAATTTATGTATTCTGTTTAGGGACTGTTTCAGATAAGTAAAGCAGGTCAATGGGCAGTTAAAATGATGAGGTTGAGGTTTACAGTTTTTATTTTGTCTTGTACAAATATGGAGATTGAAACCGAAAATGTGATGGTTTTCCTTAACATATATTTTTATTGTTTTTTTTTTGTTTTTTTTTTTTTTCAAAAGCTCATATTTGCAAACTTAAAACACACGACTCTAAAATTCCTGTTAAATACTTGCAATGATTTTTTATTTTTTATATCTAGTTTTAAGATGCTCTTTGTCTGAATAAATAGACATTGAAATAAGCAAGTCTTTGACTTTCACACTTTTTGTGACATGGGTAAAAATAGATGGTTAAGCTAAAATTCCAGAATTATATTTTATTTATTTCTCCACCTCAATAATAAACTGAGCATGTCATATTAAGTAAACATGTAAATTGTTACATTTCAGAAGGGATGTGTAAATAATTGTAAATCATTTGCATCAACAACCATTGTAAGAGGGGACAATTTTGTGTCATTCTGCAACTGAAAATCCGGGGCCACAAAAAATGTCCAGGGGCTGAAAATGGCCCACAGGCCACACTTTAGACACTTGTGCAAAGGGAGGTACACTGTCACAATTGTAAGTCCCTTTCTTAAGTACCAGCTTCTTATAACATGGCATTTTAATCTGTATTTTTTCTAAAACACAAATGTCAGGATAAAAGTGAAAGTTACAAAAAAAAGGGCCACACCTTTAAATTAATGTTACTGAATTACCTTTTAATTCAGTCATTACAGTTGCAAATCTTGTTGTGGCAGATGCCAATCTACTCTAAAGTTATCAGTTTCTTTTAAAAATGTATTCTAAATAAGAATTTTTTGGAATTGCAAGCATCAATAGGAATGGATGCATGATTGGATTGAACTGAGTTTACTTTTTAGTTGTTAAAAGCCACTCACAATATGGCGGAACTGCTTACGTGGGATTCGGTCAGCCTAGGGAGAAACATCCGGGAAGTTTGCGGAAGTAGACCACATTAGCAAAGTTGGGAGAAATCAACCGCAAAGTGCCACTAATCGACGCACAAAAATAAGATGCTGATTTTTGCGGTGGTGGGTTATTGAAACTCGAAGTTAGTTTTCTAGGCAAATTAAACTTCAATCTATCTTCTGATGTTTGTACTCCCACTGTGAAAATTGGAGCAAAGTTTTAATGTAGCTACGGTTGTTAGTAGTAACAGTTGCTAATCCCAGCTCTTATTGTGAAAGAACCAACCGGAATCGGTGCTAGTCCGTTTTATACGCCTTCAAACAGCGTTAATGTTTATACCCTAAGTAGTCTTCCTCTTATCGCAACTGCGATTGAAACGAAATCTATCCACTGCTCCCTGGTTTACTTCCCGAATGGACGGTACATGGAACCGAACCGAACCGGTCCAGACTGGGCCGTGTCGAGAAACGAAAGACAGCAGCAGCCAGACTGACAGCAGGATACAAGGTGAGCTGATGGAAGAGGCTTCATGTTTCAGCACACATTCAGAAGAGTGACACTTAAAGGCATCCATAGCTTTTAAATGGTTGCTTTTGAAAGGTATGGTTTTAAAATCAGAGCTTTTAAGTGTCATCGAGTGTAATATAGCAATACTAGGCTGTAATAATATTTACAGTGTAGTGTTTTTTGCAGAGTAATACTTCCTGATTTTTGTGTTTATAGTCCTTACCAGGATCATTTTCTCATTCTATATTGCAGAAAATCCACATATTTACTAATACAAAATTGCCCTAATGACACACCTACTGTGATAAGTTATATCTTAGTAATATATTAGTTTTAACTGATTGTTAGTGTGAATGCTGTATTCAGCTTGCTCTTCTAATGCTGGCTATATCTTCGAGTATTCATAACCTTCATACTTTTTTTATAATCAGCTTTTTATTCATTTCATTTTTATTAATTTAATTTTTATTCAAAATGAGTGGAAAAACAGGAACACTTCCCTCCTGTTGCCAGAATTAAGAATTACAATATAAAATGTAATTAGTGTTTTACAGTTGTTTCAGTTCCTGTCTAGATTACAGGCCATTTTTAAAAACTTTTTTAAACACATGGGGATGAATTCACACGCTTTTGCCATTTTCACACTTTGCCTTTTCGCGGGAGTTGCAACATTTCTAGTTTTAATTGTCTTTTGGTTATGTCTCAGTCAGCTTTGCACATTTTACCAGCAGTGTTAAAGAATTACAGTGATAACTCATTCCAGCATTGTTTTTATGAACCTATGGTGTCATCACCAAGGACATGACCCCAGGTTGTCAAAGGTGAATCTGTTTACCTTGTTGAGCTTGTGGATGGAGATATTCCCTCGGGATCAACCTGAGGACAGTGAAAGCAGTCAGGTCAGTGAAAAAGCTGCACAAAGACAGATGTTTTGAACATTGATATGCACACACCAGAGCAGTAGGAACATTTTTAATGCCTGTAGTCCATTTCAGATCCGTGGGACTGGTCTGGTGGTGGTGCATCAAGGGAAAATCTTGGGATTCCACTGTTCTGGAGTCGACCTTCACGCAGCACAAGCAGCCATCATTCAGCATGGTGCAAACCTGGCCGGCTGCCAGCTCTACTTCTCCAGGAGACCTTGTGCCACTTGCCTTAAGATGATCATAAATGGTGAGAAAGATAGTTGAGACTGATTAATATAGACTAAACTTTTCTCAAAATGTAAGTTTGAAATATTTCTATATATTGTAATTGTAACAGTAACAGTAACAGACAGGCTTGCAGCAATCTGAAGACGCGTCTGACTGAAGACTTAGACAGTTTCATGAATCCTAACAGCTCAAAACGCAGAGCAGAGACGACTTCACAGTAACATATTCTGGATGTCATCATCAATTATAAAAGTCTAAAAAAATAAATTCTAGAGCAAGCAAGGACAGAATAATCAAACCAAACATAAATGTGTCAATATACCCATTAATGGTTCCAATTTGGGAGATACAGCAACACAATAAATAAATAAATGCTGCAGCTTATGAAGAAATGTAGTCAGGCAGACCCAAGACTTTTCTCTTTGGGAAAGAAAAACTAAAGCATTATAAAAAACTTAAGTAGATGTAGATAACGGTAGGAATAGCTTTCTGTTTCATTTATCTGTCATAGAGGCAGCTTCTGTTTTCATTTCTGTCAAATTTTAAACCAATACCCAGACATACTTGGGAATTACATGGATACGTGAAAGCAATAAAAATAGCAATCAACTGTTTTATTTATTCCATAATTACCATATGAAAACATTATTTTATTGTGTCAGGATTTGAAGAGGGTTGTCTTGGTAGTTTAATGTTATCTCTGCACTGCGCTGGCTTTTATGAGGGGCTATTGCACACCGGCAACACGCTGAACTTTGGAATTGTTTTTTCTTTACCTCAGCTGGAGTCAGTCAGATCTCCTTTTGGCCCGGGGATCCAGAGATCAGCATGCTGAGGTCCACGTCTTCATCTCAAACAAACGCCAGCAGCACGTCGCTCTCTGTGACAGAGGATGTTGTCCTGGACACAGTTGCAGTAGAGAACCTGAAGTCCAACAGCCGTCCTCACATCTGTGTGCTGCTGCAGCCGCTGGCGCCTGGCCTGCTGCAGTTTGTTGAGGAGACATCTAGGAAGAGCGATTTCATGAAGAGGATGACCGAGGATGACCCAGGACTGAACGAACAGGAACTCTTCAACAGGTAAACTTTGCTCTTCCTCAGAGGTTATCAGACACAACCAGGCATCCAAATGAATGTCCCCTCTACAAGAACACTGTAAAAAAAAATTCAAATTAAAATCACAGGCTGGACTGCAAAACAAAATTTGATGTTTAAAACACTAAATTTGTTTTCAGACAACGTCTAAGACACTTCAGAGAATTTTCCAGACAGTTCTTGGTTGGAACATCCCAGCAGCACAAGGAGATTTTGATCCAAATGGGCCTGGAGAATCTCTGTGTGGAGCCCTATTTCTGCAACCTGAGGAACAACATGGCGGCGCTGGTGGAGGTTCTAGCTGCTGTGGCTGCAGGGCTCCCTCAACATCAGTATGGCTTCTACAGGTTGGGAACTTAATTTGTTTTACTAAAAACTAGGCTCATAAGTTGTTGGGTTTTTTGGGGTTATTGATGATAGTTTTGGTTATTCAGAGAAAACTGTGCAACTACGTCTCCTGATCCAGTGGTTGTGTCTCAAGAGGTGGCTCGCCACTGTATCATCCAGGCCAGGCTACTGGCATACAGGACAGGTTGGTTTGACTCCATTGAAGAAAACAACTCAGAGCATGCAGGGATTTTATATCAGAGTTGAATTAACAACTTAACTTTGAATGTAACTTTAGAGAAGAGGTGCTAAACTTTTAATCACATGGGGAAAAAATTATCCAAATTATGGACCAAAAAAAACATATTTTTAAAAATTAATATCACCAAAAATGTGATTTTATTTTCGCTATGTGACAATAAACTGAGCATAAACTTTCAGTCAATTTGCATATTATTTTGAGTTTGACTACAGAAAATAAAACATTTTTTTGTCTATTCTCAGCAATAAAAACAGAATCAAGGTCGGTCTTTATTTGATTGTATTTGGCCAAGTTTTAATACATTAATTAAAATTAAAAAGACCTTGAACTTTATTACACAGATAACAGAATTTTAGCAATTTACACAATTTCATTTTCTGCCATTTATTGTACAAACAAAAGATAACGTATTAAGAAATAATAGTTTTCTTACTAAATTGCTGTCCAACAGGGCCCTCTGCTGGTTGCACCTTCCATCTTGGATTTCCATAAGCTTTAAGTTGCGGGTTGATCTAAAACAACAAAAATATATCACTCTGTGTATGACATATCTATATGTTATACATATTAAACTTTTTTTTTTATTAAGTGCTGACATAAAACATTTTTATGAAATTCTGTTCTAGTATTTTAAACACAATTTGATTGAAGCTTTTAGGTATTAAGATATTCATTGAAGCTTGCAGGATACATTTCTAAAACAACATAATTAAAACATAGTTATGCTACAGTGTTGATGTCTGACCGGTCCATTTTTTAACTTTTTTTTTTTTCTCATCGTCGTTCCAGAGGATCCAAAAGTGGGAGTGGGTGCTGTTATCTGGGCAAGAGGGCGGTCGGTAAGAACATAAAACATTTGTCTCTACAATAAAACATTACCACTCTTGTGTGACGGCAACTCTAAATTGAAATTATTATTATATTGTTTTTTTAATGTGTCCAGGTTAAGTTTTTACAGTTCATAATGCAATAGTATGAAGCAGGTAAATAATTCAAGTGTCCTAATTCTTGAGTGATTGCTGTCTTTTTCCAGCAGGTGGCACCATTATATTGAATTTCAGTTTGTGAACCAGTTCCTAAAAGTAAGGGATACTCCAATCACAAATTAAAAATATATATCTCGACCTCCCTCATCTCAGGCTGGCTGTCGAGGAACAGGCTGCCTGGATTTGGTGGGTTGCGGGTACAACGCCTATCCTGCAGGCTCAAAGTACGCAGAGTACCCCCAAATGGACTCTACACAGGAGGACCGTCAGAGACGCAAATACAGATACATCATCCACGCAGAACAGAACGCCCTCACATTCAGGTCAGCTCATTCAACACCTGCCTGTCCAGTTTCATTTGTCAATCTTGACTGACTGATGTCTCCTCCGTTTTTGTGTTTTCAGGACGCGAGACATCAAACCAGAGGAGCCAACCATGTTGTTTCTGACCAAATGTCCATGTGACGAGTGTATCCCTTTGATAAAAGGGGCTGGAATTACACACATCTACACCTCAGACCAAGACAGGGACAAAGACAAGGGGGACATTTCCTACCTGAGATTCAGCACCCTGAAGGACATCAGCAAGTTTGTTGTAAGTTAGCATTAGAGAAAATTAATATTTATTTTCCCTTTAAAGCTACAGTATGTAACCTTTATTATTTTTATTTTTTTTCTATATTTGTTAAAACTGTCACCATGTCGTGACAGTATGAGTCAGATAATTTGTGAAAAGATGGCGCTCCTCTTCCCTTTGTTCTGTTGTCATATGAAGAACAGCGCCGTTCCTGGTCAAAAACAAAAACAATCAGAACCAGGAGAAAGGTCTTAGCGCTGTCAATAATTCTCTAGTACTCACTGCTAAAAGTGCTAATAGCAGAGAAACAACAGACCATTACAGGAAAACTGTTAATCCCGACAACTAAACACAATAAATAAAACAAAAATGAAAATCATTTACAATCTAAGCCACTCATGAAATGGATTATAATGTCCATAAACAAAACTGACCTTTCAAAAAATATTAACCATCAGAAAAAAACTACCAACTTATTTCTATTTGTCATGCAATTAATTGTTTAATTGCTTATTGCAACATGCTTCAAGGAGAGGGATGTGAGCAGCAAGATTGACAACACCAAGACCCGTCTCCTGTTTCTGATTGGTTGTTTCTGACCGAGTGGTATATTTGTGCAGTTAGTACAAGGAGATTTTTCACAGATTATCTGACTAGTACTACACTGACACAACATGTACAAAAAATATTTTGTCATACTGTCGCTTTAAGGAGTAAAGTAAGACATGTTTATTTTCTCACAGTGGCAAAGGATTCCTCCTGAACCGTCTTCTCCTCTCGCAAGTGAGTTACAGCTTCCTATCCTGGTGCTTTTCCACTATAACTGCGTTTTATGTTTTCATGTGAAACACTGTGACCTCGTCGTTTTTCTAGATGGTTGTATTCGGAAGCACAGCTGGCAGACTGAGCAGGAGTACGTAAATAAGAAGCTGTGCACCGAGAACACCAAGAGTTCACCTTCTGGCAGCTGAACGTTAGTTAGTCATGGACGGACTAGCCTGTGCACGAGCTCCATCCACGGACGTTACACAAGGGGCGAATAATTTGCTGATGGTAAAATCTACCAAAAGTATTTCTTCCTTTACAGATTTCATGTTTCTTGTCTTTTTGTCACACACTTCAATGTTTCAGATCATTTCAAGCAAAGATAACCTCTATCAACACCATGTTTAGTAGGCCGCTAAAAATATCCTTTTTTTTTTTTCTCGTCAGCCCACAAAATATTTTCTTCAAATTCTTGGGGATCATTAATCTTTTTTTGTCTTTTTACTTGTTTACTTACATTAATCTTGTCTAATCTTAAATGCTTCTGTTAAACAATTTCAGTGTGTCAAGAAAACAGAAACAGAAGAAACCTGTAAGGGGGAAGATGTACAAACAGTTTTACAATTTATTTGAACATTTGGGACAACGTAGTAACCTCATCAACATGCAGAGTTAGTCGTATATGCAAAAAGTTAATATAAAGTGAAATTGCTTTATATTTCCATATAAGAGGACTAAACGGTTGAGGATGGATGCTAAGGTGAGACTTATTGACAGAGACTTGACAGAAATTTAAAGGAATGCAGATTGCACTATTTCCAGATGTTTTTATTTGACAGTTTAATACAGAATATCTAAACACATTAAGTTTATTTTCTGTTTTAATCCTTAGCTATTTGTATTTTTTTGTCCATGGTTCAGACAAAGAAGCTTAATGTTGCCTGTGTCAACAGATGACTTTCAAAGTTTGAAAGCAGCAGTGACCAAGTTTTGGATCTGAAAAGATAAAAGAAAAAAAGCTGAGTGAAACCAAAATGCTACATTGATATGTGAAAAAAAAATTGTAAAGAAAGGGATTTCATTGTGATTTGTTGGAACCTTTTTGCCTTTTAGTTTTCAGCTTGTAAAATTATGTCTGTACGAAAAAGTTTATTGTTCAGAATGTGAAACTCATTCTATTGGTTAAAGATTTCAAGCATTTATCTCTCTATATCTCCCCATCTTTATTTTGATAACTGTGGTTTGCAGTTAATAAAAACCCAAAATTCACTTTTTCCCACAATTAGTCAGACACAATCCCCTACCCCTGATTTATTAGGATAAAGGTTTTTTTTTCTTACTTCTATTTATGCAATAAGCTTACCACAATTACCTTTTTTGGTAAGCCATAAGTCATCATTGTGGACTCCACAACATTTAACATTTTAAATAAACTGTATAGTTTTCCTTGTGTAATTTGAATTTTGGGTTTTCTTCAGCTGTAACTCAGAAGTGTCAGAAACACTGACGGTTTCTGACGTGTCAGCAGGAGGCAGACCAAGCAGGCTCGGTCCACCTCTGATCACAAATGAAAGAAATAAACACTTAAAATATTTCATTTTGTGTCCAGTTACTCTCAAAAGCCTTGTGGAAACTTTTCTCGAGTTTGGCTTTTGCACATAAAAAAGAACATGGTATTTTTCTTCAAATACTGTGTCTAAAGATACAACAAACAAGTACTTTGTCGCAAAATACATTAGGTATGAGTGTGTCCACATTCAACATCTTCCACAGCCCCCATTACCCGCTGAAGTGGGCTGGATGTTTATTAAGCCTTTCTTTTGTTGAGCTGCATGTATGCTTCGACTCTGAAAAATATCAATTCCTTCTTCATATTCGACTCTCAAGTTTTTTTTATTTCGGCGCAGATTACCTTAACTCTGGAGTTAGTCTGAGCCTTCAAACAATTTCAATTGGAGAAGTTTTACAAAACATTATTAGTTGATGTTAAAAATAATGTTTGTTTTAGATACATCATGCTCAGCAAGAAGATAATACATGTCACTAATCACAGCTTAGAGTAGCTCTATTGATATATTAATGCAGCAGCCATACAGCCTGATGGAAAAACATTTTTGTTTGATAAAAATATAAAACATTATCAAACACGCCATTTTTTATTTTTAGCCCCAGAAAACCTCAATAATACACAGAGAATTAACTAATTTAAAGTTAAAACTCGGTTTCACACAAATACAATCATTAAAGCAAAAAAGTAGCTGTTTAGCTGCACGCGCTCAAGTTTGGTCAAGGTCGCTGTCAAGCTAAGTTTCTATCAGCAGAACCTTCTGCTCAACATAAAACATACCTCTGTGTTGGCTTTTCCTACTCTTCCTTTCTTTTCTCTCTCCCTGAAGGATTTAGTACTTTATTTGTGACACAAAAACCAAAAAAATAGATGGAAGAAAAGTCCTGTGGAACAGTGGTGCCCAAACTTGGTCCTGCTTCAGTTCTCGCGCACCTTCTAACGATGGCTCATTAGAAGACCTAAAACACGCAGAAGATAAAATATGATACGTTTTGCTAAACTTGGAAAATTCAAATCTTGTCTATATTACTCTTCTACGTGAGGTCTAGAGGTTTGCAACGCTATGCAATTAGAGGCTTAAATAAGTAATATTTTTATTTATTTATTCAACATAAAGAGTTTAACAATAGATCTTAAACAACGTAATCTCATCTGTACCGCTCAAAAAATGCACAATATGTCTATAAACAATTCTGGAGTATTATCCACCTTATTTCTGGGAGGCTTTTCTTTTCTTTTGCAATTAAATTTTATTTCCTCTGCGCGTCTCGGGGAGCGATGGCCGTTTCTATGCGACCGTCGTCACTAGCGACAGAAATGTAAACAATTTACTTTACGGCCATTTCTTCACATCGCCATTCATACCCGCAGTAGCTATAGGTAGCGGTGAAAAAAAAATCGCCATATTTAAGCTGAGATTGTACGTATTTTGTAGCCGCAAGCCGGTTAGCGAGATGCTAACATGCAAACAACGGTCTACGGCAGTAGTAGCGCCCATAAATCACGCAAAACCTCCTGGAGGCTAGGAATAAGGTGGATAAGGAAGTACTGAGATTCCGTTTTCCAACGTAATGACGTCATTGCCACTTTGGCACAAGCACAGCGAACAAACGTTCAGAGGATGAAAACGAGCAAAACTCATGACCCAGCTTTCCGCCAGCAATTAAACGCACCACTGACGCACAAATTTTGAGCCTGTCTGAAGCGTGAAATGAGTCTCAAGAATCCTTGCGCAGTGGTAACAGGATCTGTGCGTTAATCCAGTTTTGTCTGTGAGCATCATTATTTATCAGATTTGTGAGGTTGCAGTTAAAATTTTAGGAATTGTAATTGTATGTGTACTTTTATTTTATATTCATAATTTCTTCATATTTGCGTATGCATTCGATCCGGGTACTTTTATAAGTACCCAGAGTTATGCACACATTTTCTTTTTACGGTTTACAAATCATGTTTCAGAATCTCCAAAGTTTCACACAAAGATGCTTATACGGATTACATACGCACAGGTATTTTGAGACTATTTTCACTCCATACTCTACTAACATCTTCCATCTTCCCTCAAGAATCTGTCAGAAAAAAAACAAAACAAAAAACAAAAAAACATCCTTCGAGTTTTTGGCAATTTGCAGCAACTTCACTATTGCAAATTTCACCTTTAAAAAGCGGTGGAAGGAGAAAGCATTTTCGGCCCAAGCCGTCTCCTCCTGCTGGTTCATTTGACAAAGCAAATCAGATGCGTCCAACACATTGAGCTACATGCTACACGTGAGAAAAAAAAATGATTTTCTAAATAAAAAAAATAAATTTACAAAAGTTAGATCATTGATTATGAGCTACTTTTACCAACAAACAGAAATAATCTTTTTAAATAGTACAACCATTATTGTTAATGTGTTTTTTGTTGTTTTCTATTTTCTACGCCATCCTATTAATAAAAAAAAAGTTGGGTGGGGTCGGGGGGCTCTTCTAGGAGGCTGGTTTTTTCAGATCCCTGATCTGTTTGATAAGATACGTCTTCTCGTCGTTGAACTGCTCGTCATCTGTGCGGTCCTTCTGGAAGTTGCTTAAGAAGTCAATTAGTTTGGTCTGGTTCTTCAGCAGGATGTCGGCGATGGGCTGCGTCTTGTTGGGATTCGCTACAAACACCTGAACAGAGACGGGATTTGGATCACACACAGGGGCTGAGGGAGTATTCACGGCACCAGAAACTTTTCCTGGCTTGGTTACATTACAGTAAAGAGTCAGATTTATTTAGGAGCATCAGCATAAATGGGGATAAATACAAATGCATAACAAATTTTATTCAGTTTCTTAAAACTATGAATCATGACCCTTTCCACTTCATAATTATAAACTATTTTGTGTTGGTCTAACACATAAAATAGCATTAAAATACACTGAAGTTTCTCATAATGAGACATTATGAGAAAAATAAAAATATCTCTTTCTTCTGTCCATTTTCTAATTCACTTTAGGGCTGGACAACAAATCAATAACAAGTTTCAGGTTTCTTATAACTGCCTAAAACCAAACAGTGTGGAGTAAAAACTGTGAATAAAAACATTCACCAGTTTAGCAGAATCTTAGATATTTAAAACAAAAAATTAGTAATTATCAACACTTATACCACAATAATTTTTTCAGCCATATCTTCTGGCCCCAATTCACTTAAACGCATTTTTTAAAATCTTTTTTTTGTTTTACCTTAAACACGTGGAAGGCCTCGAACTGAATGTTGGAACTCTTGTCTCTGAGCAGATTCATCATTAGCTTGAGGTTTTCAGGCTTGCTGATGTAGAATGTCATCACCGTGAAGTTGTGTCTGTCCAATAAGAGCTCGCCCAGGAGCTGTAGGTAGCATAGTTTCAAATGATTTTATATCCCGACAAGCTTTCTCAGTACTTGCTTAATAAAAACATCGGACGGAGTCGGAGTCTAACCTTAAGCGACTGCCGCTTTGTGACGTAGTTCTCAGAGTGCAGCAGCTTCTCATAGTTAGAAAACACCTTCAATCAAATGTAAACAACATAATAGTTTAGTTTAAGAGTTTGAGATCTGATCTCAGATGTACACAAGGTTTCAGGGCTAATCACAGGATGTCCGACCACCACAGCAGAAACTTTATCTAGAGCTGCATTCATTCATTCATTCATTTATAAAGCTTTTTAAAAACCAGAGGAATTACTTTTATCGCTAAATAACAGCTGGTGGATATATATGTTTTCTAATCTAGCTCTGGAAGGGTGTTTTTAACTTTGATCACTCACAGCATCGTAATTCTTTTCGAGGAATTCAGCCACAACCGCTTTGTGTCTTGTAAGGAGATCCTGTGGATATAAAGACACAATAAAAATATTGATCAAAGAAATGAAGAGTTTTAGCCTAGTTTATTTCCTTCCTTTCAGCACTCTTGTTTTTTTTTTTTCAAAGCTTTTAACAAAAATATCAGAAAATAAGCAGAAATTGTACTCTGATGCAGAAAGGTTGTTGAATTTTAAGTGTTTCTTTTGGCCTGGTAAGAATGAATGGAAATAGCTGGAATGTGTTATTTAATTTAATTTAATTTAATTTAATGAGCTCAAATTAGAGTCAGTGACTTAGCCATTATAACTCTTTTTTTGAACACAACTAAAAGGAAAACTTGCAAAAATGATGATATATACCTTTAGGAAAGATCATATTAATAAAAACTGACATCATTCAACGTTACCTTAAAGGTCGCAAAGGCGTCAGAAGCGATGTCAAACGTGGACATTTCCACATAGCTGAAGAAGCTGTGGAAATGTTCGGAATAGAGAACTATCCTGGCGAGTGGCTCATAGCGGATACATTCCCTCAGCATGATGCCGCAGTTCAGCGCTATCTGGGGGGTTTCGTATCTGGAAATACACAGAGGCAGTGTTGCGTCAGCTTGTGGGATTCGCAGAGCCAACGGCAGAAAAAACCCTGTCTGACTCACCCCTTCAGCAGAATGAAGAGGACCTCTTGGTGGGAGCACAAGTATTCAACGGTGGGGCTCCTCGCTCCGATCTGCCTCCTCAGGATGTTGTTAAAGATCTGACAAACGTCCTTCTTCCCCTGAAAACACACAGAAATGAAACTGAACCACTGAAATCTGGAGTTTTTCCTCCTCCTTTGACACCATGTGGATTCGTGACCTTGGTTTCTGCTCACCTCAAATTCTATGTACTGCAGGTTTTCTACCAGCGCAATCAGCAAGCCGTTGTTGTAGAGCTCCTGTGCGAGCTGGGCCACGGTCTCGGTGTGCGGCTCCTTGTCGTTGCTCCCGTACAGAATCTCCTTCATCGACACCAAGCATTTTGAAACCTCCTCAGATGCCTGGAGAACAGAGAAGTCGAGCAGAATGAAAAAATGCAACTCGGTTAGGAGGAATGCAGCGCGACTGTGAGTAGGAGACTGAAGAGTCCTGGGAGTGAAGTGTCAGGAGGTGACATGCTCATATCTTTAATTTCACAGAGCCTTGTGACCCCTTAGCCTCTGGACATCCTGGAAGTTAGAGAAAATCATCTTGTAGAGTCTGGTTTTTCCTACCTTGTCTGTCTTCTTGTCATGTTTGACCAGGATGGCCAGGTTTTCCTTTAGGGTCTTGATAATGTCTGTGGGACTCTTGTGGGATTTACCAAACAGCGGCATGACGGACACCGGTTAACGCCTCGAGACCTGCAAAGGATAGCAGACTTTAGTCTGTGATAGATGGCAGAAAGGAGCTTATATTAAATATTTTTCATTAATAACAAACATTTTATAGCGTTCTTTTAGCGTTTGATCATTTGGAGCAAAAAAATACACCTGCAGCTAAAATATACTTCTGACTGAAAACTAACACATCACATCACTCATAGATGGATGGAGATAAACCATCTACCATCAGGCCAGCTGGTGCTACAGTACAATATAACTGGGTGCTAGAATGACCTAGTCAAAGTCTGGATCTAAATCAAATTGAGAATGTAGGGCAGGATGTAAAATCAACAATCTTCAAAGGTTAAAAAGTATAAATACTTTTAAACTTTTGAGTCCTGGGCCTTCCTGTAAAGCTAATCATAAATAAAGGCAACTATCAACAAAAAAAGACATGAGGTGAAAGTAAAAATAATAATTTTTTAAAATCCTGCAAGGCCTATGTGACTTTGAAGAGTCACATAGGCCTCTTGGTGCAGAAATGGTTTGCATTTCTGCACCACATCCTGGCATTGTTCTGCAAGCAATGAGTCAGGTCCGAAACATTTCTAACATCCCAGATGCACGTCGCAAAGACTGTGAGCTAATAAAGCAAAGCGACAAAACTGGACTGACAGCCGCCGATTCGGACAACGTCGATGTACCTGAGTTGTGATGAAACCCTGCGGAGAATGGAAGATTCAAAACCATCTGCCAGCGAACAAAAATGAATCTACCTTGACAACAGCGTTTTCTCTTATGTCCATTTAAAGGCAGCCTGGACGAGCTCGGAAGGAAACGCACATTCATCTGATGTCAATAGACATGGCGTGGTTTTCCATCATTGCATAACTCATCGCTCAGGTTGTATTTTGCCCTGCAACACCCAGAATGTCAAGGAGTGTTTGGCATCCGCCTGTCCCAGTAGGTGGAGGCTAGCTAAGAATGGCGCTGAAGCCACTCTGTTGGCTTGGAAACGCATAAGATAACGACATGCACAGAGCATAGAGAAGGAGCAGTTTGGGAAGCAGCTCAGGACGGGAACTTGTGACTGCTAATCCCCATCTGGGAATGTGAGAGGGCATTACTCTCCCCTCCTTCATAGATATTTCAGTTTCCTAAGATCCGTTTTCTTTTCTCAAATATTTGGGAGACAATAAAATTTTTACACAAATAATTTTGAGTCGGTGCATCCACATCAACTTTATATAAACTCTTTACTCATGTCAGAACAGAAATTACGTAGTTCATTTTTAATTTATGATGCAATAAATTAATTGCTCACTGCGGCAAGCTTCACGTCAGCTGATATTTTGTCATTTTTAAACCCATCAGTGTTGAAAAAAATGGTTTTCAACTCAGTAAGCAAATTTTAGAGTGAAAACAATCTCTTGATTACTTGTTTTGGTTATTATAATCGTTCCATTTTGATTAAAGTATAATAGTACAGTGAGGAAGCATTTTAAACAGAGAGGATAGAGCCCTTATTGCTTCTTTAGCTGCTCATGCTGGGTCCTGTTATGCAGTGTTTCCTGGTAGGCCTTGTTGTTACCCAGTAATTATTAAGAATTAGGTCCAAAGGGCCAGCTTTAGTTACCTGATCACAAGGCTGTGAGCCATTGAAAGCTTCAGCAGCTGGTTAGTGTTCATTCCTGCCTCTATAAACTGACTAAATGTGATGTAATCAGATTAATCTGATGCCTGCCGGGGTTGGACACACACAGCTATCAGCTCAGTTTGAATAAAAGCTAACCGGAGAGCTTCCTCATTAACCCAAATAGCTAATTTATGACCTACAATCTTCATGGAGATTAGCAGAACAAAGCTAAAATTTGGGGAGCAGTGAGAAAGACAAATGCTGAAACAAAGGCTAAAATATATTCCAATGTACAGGTTAGCCATGATTAAAATACCTGAACTGGCTGTGAACTTGTCAAACACCATATTTCACCATCAGATTACAACATCCAATGAATCAACCTGCGCTTGCTTGATGACTAATCGCTGACGTAGCGATGCAGCAAGGCGACGATCAGGAGGTGCTGAGCAGTCACATGCTGGAGATGCCGTTCAGGAGGAAAAGGAGCTACGACACGGGGCTTTACCTAAACCTGACAGACATTTATTCCTCATAAATGTAACCGAAGCATTTAAAAACTGCAGGAACTACATGATGCCTGTACTTTTTAAAGCTCTTTAGAGCTCTATGTTTCCCTGGGATGAAAAAAAAACGATGCGACACAAAGGTCTGTTCCACTAAGCCACTCTTCAAAGCAGGAAAGATAAAAGAGAGCACGATATTGAAGTAATGTACATGTGCCGATCTTCATGATCATATACTCACAGCCATTTGAAATGTAAGAAATTTAAAGTATTTTTCCAACAAACTGAAATGCCAAGCGGTCTGGGGAGTGTCTGGAAACTCATTATTTGCAAGGAAATTGGCGACTTTGAAATAATGTTTCCTTCCTGGACAAATGCACAGCTGTCAGGTTCAGCTGATGTTGGATAATGGTGTAAAGGGACCTGAGTTTGAGAAAACACACAAATAAACTCACTTGACCATCTAATTGCGGTGATATGTCAACAAATTCAATTAAAAACATTCAATCATAATTCATAACATCCAAGTGTTAGTGGTGCAGAGGCAGGAAGGATCTCCAGTAGCAGTCAGTTTTGCAATAAGTCTGAAGAGGCTTCTGACTGAAGACTGTTGCTGTATGACAGTCTCATGACTGTCATGACAAAGCAGCTCAATTTCTGGACAACAGAGATGATATTTCAAAGAAACACAATCTTTTGATGTAATTGTGATCATGAAAAAGGAAGTAAAGAGTCGATATAATCCAAAATTTCAGCAGTATTATTGTAATTATATGTTTGTCCCAGTATAATACAGCCCTAATTTTTATTCAGCCAACTTAACGCCAGTATTTCTAAGAAAAATCAAATTGCGACCAGCTGCCTTTATAAACAAACAACCTTATTAGTGTATATTTAATCTCAATTAAAATACAGCTGTTCTACTAACAATGTACTATGTTTGGAGAACAATCTTCATGGCTTAGGTCACAATGTATCAATGTGTTAGATTGGCCTAGTCAAAGTCCATATTTACAAAACTTATTGAGCTGAAGATTGTGAGCTAGTTTCAGATACCTATTTCATCGATAACCCTCACACTTTCAAAATGGACAAAAACCAGTTTAAAAGCAAACAAATAAAAACAAATAATTTGGAGTTTTGAACAGTTTTGTTTTGAAAATGCACACCGGAAGCGGGCTGTTATTCCTTTAAGACTTGCTTGACGATGATTGTCCAAAGTAACATAGGAGATAAGGAGGCAGGGAGGAGGAGGAGGGGCAACAAAAACAAAATACACGCAGCTAAAGAGTTAAGGAGCCCATAAACGACGGGTTTGGCGGAGTAATCTGGTAATAAGGTGGAGGGAAGTGATAAGGCCGCATTAACAGACCCAGACAATGTGATTTACCACGGCTACACCCCTCTCGCCTCCAGCTAAACTCCCTTCTTGTTTGACAGATTTCCAAAGCTAACCACAGCTGCACGACGGGGGGCGAGAAAGGCCTCCCATATGACCACCACTAAATACATTTTAACCCCTGTCGTGAAGTTATGAACGCTGTCAAGGGCAGTGATATGAAGCCATAACTGGAAGCTACTGCTTTCGGCAGCGTTAGCTAGAGATTATACTCACAGCGAGAAGATGTTTGGTGCCTTTTAAACGTCCTGACCGCTCCAGTCCCGGTTCACAGCGCAGCCGAGCCCGAAAGTAAAGACTCCGTGTTCACACCAGAGCTGTTTGTTGGCCGCTGAACGTCTGCTGAAACAATTGAAAACGTGAGGGATCCGTAAAGAGGGGAGTGCAGAATTCCATCTGGTCGCGCTCCAGTATGCTGGAAAGTTAGCGTGAATACAATAGACTAATTCCGGTACGGATTTTCAAAATAAAATCACAAAAGCTAATTCACGCTAAAAAGGAAGGATTCAAAATAACTTAAATTCTAATATCTACAAAATATATATATATTCTATTTATGAGCTTTTACATTCTAAATTTTCTTTTGATCAGATAGTTATTTATAGCGTTAAAAAAAACTCCACTTCCAGTAGTAGACAATTGAGTTTGACAATTCTGTATCTTTCCAGCTGCAGTCAAATCTCATTCACATTCTCTCACCTGATACCTGCCTCTGCACCTTATTCACTGCCTTTCCCCGATGTGCGCATTAAATTACTAGTAGCGTGATGTCATTTATTACATTTACCTTTAGAGAAAAATATGTAGAAAAATCTGCAAAAGTGTTTTAAATTTTAAACTAAATGGGATGCAACCCATCTGTATGGAGCACCAAAGGAGCCAAAACAACCTTTCTGTACAATTCAACTCAAGACCACATACAATTTTGGTATGAAAATAATTGAAATCAATACTGCAGACATGTAAATAAGAAATCCAGTTGAGGAAACAATCTCAGATTTTATTAAAGCTGCTTTACTTGTACATACAAGTCAGAATACATATTTACAAATATACATATGTCTCATAACATTTTTATTTCACCATCATACACAGTAGATATACCATCCGAAAATAAAGACAGTGGTTGCCGCAATGTGCTGCATAAAACAGAAAAGTTAAAAAATATATAACCCCTTTCTCAATTGTTTTTTTTTCCAGCCTTGGAATAAAAAGTAAAAATGATTCATTTAGCTTTATGGCGCGACCATGATCAAACCACGACAAGTTTAGTGCCCGTGTCAGGTTTTTTTTTTTTTACTTTAAAGAGGGCAGAAAATAAACTCTCATAATGTACGAACAGGTAAAAAATATATATATTTTAGGTTTAAAATGGGGAGCTGTGAGGAACATGCCACAAAGAGTGAAACGCTGAGACAGACTCTACAGTGTACGTGCTTTTGAGGAAAACAGCATGAGGTATAGAGGCGACATCAACAGAACAGGTACACTCAGTTGAAAACGAAAAGGCCTGCAGCACACTTTCTTCCTTTCCCTTTACTAACAGAGGCGTCAGGCCCAGTGTGGGCAATAAACGGATGGAGCTGAGCTTAGTTCAACAGCATTCCTGTTCATAAAAATAAAGGAAGAGAGTACTTTACTGCGCCTTGTGGATACAGTAGAAACCTGGGGTATATAAAACCATGTTTGCTCTCAAAGAGCGGATGTGATTCAGTGTTTGTAACAGCACAAGTTCCTCATTCCTTGAAAATCCTACAAAAAGTCACTTTTTTTTATTGGGGTTGGGAAGCCCCAATGGGATCAGATACATTAAATAGGTGCGCACAAACATGTTGAGCAGGTCTGGCTTTCTTTAAAAAGAAAAAAAAATAGTGGCGAGTTTCACATGCCTGAATGGGGCTGAGAGCAAAGGCCGAGGACAAAGCCTTCTTTTGTGTGGAGAAACAAACATAAATGCAGTTGATTGAGATTTGCGATGTCGTTTGGTTGTTTCAGCGCGCGTCAGCGGGGGTCACAGTGACACAGTGCTGCTGGAAAATGATTTATATAGTCACTGAGTCGACTTGCGCCTGGCCCTTTAACAGCTCTATGAACTGGCAGGCAGGAATGTGCACACAAAGACAGTCAGTCCGGCAGTCACACCTGCCGGACTGAGCAACCACAAAGGTTTCCTGAGAGGTAAACAGAGAAAATTTTACAAAAAAGAAACAAAGAAATCTAGATGTTCAAGCTGCCAGTATTTATCAGTAGAGAAGTGCAGGATGTGGATCTTTTGGTGACAATCACCTTATAAGACATCGAAATCTTTGCTTCTTTTGTGAAAATATGGAAGGGACACAGAATTTTTGGGCCAAAGAAACACACAATGGCCTCTTTCAACTCCCATGAACAACAGGAGCGCAGTCTTGTTCCAAGACGCGGCCTTCGGACATGTTTCTAGTTGCAGCCACACGCCACTTTTCACAGTGTACGATTGATGCCCGACACCGAAGCCGTCGCGATACGTGAAATGCCTGTTCGATAGCATCTGTGCGAGCGCTAAAGAAGAATCTGTCGCTGAGCTGCAAAGTTTGACTCCAGTGTTGTTGCATTTAGTGCAGACATTCTTGAAAATGTCTCTTTTGATGCTACATTATAGCGCTATGGCACTGAACGCATGTCCAGTAAGTCTTGGGATTTTAAAAGAGACCTGATGATGAATCCACATGGTGCGACTGCAAAATTAGAAGTTTAAGGTGCAAGGAAACTATAAAGTGTTCCATTGAAAAGAAACAGAACCAAACAAACACTGATTCTGTTCTCCTGTCGGAGTCAGATGTAGATTTTATGATAGGAGTAAAAAAATAACTTAAGGGTCGAGGGTCGGGGATGGGGTCTTCGGTCAGGGTTTGATGTCAGAGAAGCTGGTGTAGGTCTCGCTGCAGCTGGAAGAGGTGCTTAGGTTCCCAGAGACGCTGCCATCTGCAGGACAAACGTGCAATCAGTTTCAACTTGTAGTCATAAGAGAGTAAAGAGCTGACAAGAAACAGCAACCTACCAGAGCTGCTGAGTGATTGAGATGATTTGGACTCTGAGATGAGGCTGAGGAGGTTTGCAGCTGCCACCCAGCCCTCTTTGCTGCTGCGGAGGTTTTTCACAAACCTGCAGAGGAGGAAGCAGATTTGAAAATAAAAAAATTATAATAAAACAGAATATCTCGCTTTGCATTCATGCAAATCTCTCTCATCCCTTTGCTTTTTTGTTTTAAGCATGAAATTTTCAGAAGCATGGCTTGGCCTTTTCAATCCATCAACTAAAAGTGGAAAGCCAGAGAAAAAAAAGAAACCAAAATTGCAGTCTTGATGTGCAAAACTGGAAGAAACATTAAAAATTTACAATAAATTGTGGTTCTTTGGCCTTTAATTTGGAAAAGATATGGTGATTACTATATGATAACAATCGCTTTTGTTGTTCTGTCACATGAAATCCATTAATAGTGTGATACAAACAAGAAAAATTGTGAAAACTCTCAAACGGAGCGAATACTTTTTCCAGGCAGTGAAACCCTCAAATTAAGAAAACGTCTTTTGATGGCGGAAGGAAAGTTTTTACCATTGTCTGTCCTCTCCCTCTCTGATTAGCTGGACCATGTCTCCACTTTTGACAGACAACTCTTGAGGGCCCGTCTTTTCGCAGTCTGCTACCACACTGTACTTTCCTGGAGCCTTTAGGAAAGGCATATTTAATGAGATATTTACAGTGAAAAAAAGGATTAAGGAATGCCAGAGATTTCAAGCTCACCAGCTTTTTCACCACTTCGTCCTCGATGTCAGAGGTCATCGGGTCCTCGCCGCTGGAGAAGCCATCGTTCTCCTCAGAGGCGTCCACTGACAGAGACGGCTTGTTCCAGCCTGTCAGTATGAGACGTTAAAAAGGACGACAAAGGATTAAATCAAATCAAATTAAAGACATGAAGAAAAAAAGTGTTGATTTGAAGCACTCAGATTGTCATATTGGATTGCAACCAGGGAGATCGATTTCTTTCTCCGAACCAGGGTTGGACTTTTATTGTTCATCATAAAAAATTTCTTATTGTGATTATAAAATTCACTTGATCTTGGAAAAAAGAAAAAAAAAGATTTAATCAGAATTTTTTTTGTTATTTTCTCGGCTTTCTGTTCAATGAAAGCATTAATAAGTCCATATCCGAGCATCCACAGAAAAGATGTTGAATCTAAATGTTGAGATGTAGAAAAACCATACACGTTTGTGATTGCAAACTGAAAGTCACAGTCAAATTAGGAGAAAGTGTCAAACTAAGGCAAGCCAGCCCACCAAGACAGAGTAAAACCGGGAAACAAGAAGGATTTGCTTTGTTCAAAGATCAAAAGGTGCTAAAGTTGCACAAAAACACACAAAACCTAAAGAGGAACAAACTGATTTCTGGTGAAGCGGCCATTTCAAATCCACAATTTGACCTCAAATTAATTGTTTCTGAAATTGGGAGAAAATGACTTGGAATGTCGCTGACTTCACCATAAGGAGCACCGAAACAGCAAAACCCGCCACAGAGTGACCGAACCGCCAACCTTCAAGCAGCGCAGTTACCTCGCCGCTTGCTCTGTAACAGGTTAGAGGTGCTCATCCATTTGACTCTGCTCAGAGTGCTGCGTGGAGCCGGCTCTGAAAAGGGGAAGAAACTGCCAGCGAGTCAATGACAGGAGGCCAGTGGGGGAGAGGAAATGGTGTTGCACATTAAGCCGGAGGATTTGGGGGCATTTTGCTTCAGAGGAAAGAGTTTGTGAAGCAGAAACTTACAGAAACTTCACATTTATTCTTCAACCATCCGTTTCTCATCAGTCTGATATGATTTTCTGAGAAAATTAATTTAGGGTTTTCTTCTTGTCCTAAGAAGGAAACCTAAGCATCTAGAGAGATGTTTAGGTTGGAAAAGAGACTTTGAGGGATGATGATCTGCAGGTCAATGCAAAAATGTTGTTCTTGACATGAAACCTCCAGATTTATGAGGCCTTTTAGGGACCTTTTTCAGGAATAAGCAAATTTGTGGCATAATTCTGGATGCTTAAACGGTATCTTGTCTTTATAGTACCTGCTGTAGAAATTTATTTTTTCTTTTTACATTAAAAAAACAATTATCTCTCTATAAAGGTTTAAGATGATCTCTATCATTAAATTTTGATGTAAAATTACTTTGAAAAAAATGCTTGTAGTTTGTAGATTCCCTCTTTGCAAAAGGAGTCCATGAAAAGCTGCTAAAGCTTGATTCTTTGTAAAAAAAAAAAAAAAATTGCCTTTACATTTTAAAATATTGATCAATGCTTTTGCAGTTTTGTAAGGAAACAAGAGCCACAGTGGAGAGTCATTAAAAGCCCAAACTTATTTGGACAGGATGAGAATATTTGCTCAGTAATAATGAAAACACAGCTTGTTATGCAGATAGCTGGTCTCTCTTCACACATGTAAAACTAATTAAATGTGAAATGAGGGTATTTCCATGAGACGCTGGTGAAATCTAATTCATTTGAGTACCAAACTACCCCACGCTTTATAAACGTGACAAGAATGTACCTTTGAACCCAAACGGCGTGGGGTCACTCTTGACCGAGTGGCGTTTGGAGGAGAGCTCAGGACTCAGAGCTGAGCCTGGGCAGGCAGGCAGGGAGCAGAGGGAGAAACGAGCAGCGTGTTGAGAGGGAGGAAGCAAAAGCAAAAGTCAGGCTTTGTTTGGAAAAAATGGAAAAGAGGAGAGAAAAGGTACGAAAGGGCGAAAGAAGCAAAAGGATCGTTTCACTTTTGACCACCAGGTGGCAGGATACCTCCACCGTTGGTTTTTATAGCTCTCGAAACCCATGAGGTTGTTGTTTCTTAATGTTACCTTTGGGGCTCTTGAGGTTGCTGAAACCCTGCAAAGTAAAACGCTTTTTAGCCACTGAGGACCGGTCAGTGGTCGGGCTGGTCACAGCTTCATCTGTAGGCGATGAGTGAGAATGGGACAGAGGACAGAGCAAATAGAGCCATGGAGATGAAGATGACGGAGAGAAATAGAGTCCAGATTACAGCAGGTCGACAGAGCAGCCTTCAGCAGAGACAGGGGATGCAGCCACAGCTGAGTTTGTTGTTTTTGTGAGGTGTGGCGATAAATTTACCTTTATGTTTCGGCGAGGGACACGAGTTCGCCTCTGAGGTCGGGTTTGCCTCAAACTTCTTCTCATCCTGCTTCCTCTGGTTCTTCTGAGTGCTGCTGCGGAACGGGCTGCAGGAGACAAACGGGCGACTTCACACACGGCTGTGAAATTCAGACGTCTTCTATTTCACTGACATGTTTTAGATTGCAAGTTACATTTTAATACCTGAAAAACTATTCAATGAAACTCTGCCAAAACGCAGAATCGTACAAAGTAATCTGTAACATACCTGAGGGAGGTGGAGGAGTTATTGCTGGTGGGATTGGGAGAGTCTGAGCTCTTCTGCTGGGTTGCTTCTGAAACATACGACAGTTTGCTGCAGAGACGAGCGGCAGCGCATCGCAGGAAACGGAGAACGCAAAGCAAACCAGCCTACCTCTGCAGGCTTTGAGCTGCTGAGTCAGAACTTTGCGAATCTCGTTCACCCAGGCCGTTTTAATCTCTGCAGTTGGAGCCTGGAAGAAGCAAACCAGTGTTATTCTGTTTATTCTGCAGATTTACAGGCGGGTCTGCAGAGGCAGTTGATTTGTTTTTTTTTGTGTTACCTGCACTATAAAGACCTCTTCTCTGGAATTGGACCAAATCTCAAACTTCTTGTTGTCACCTTTAGCATTCTCAGTGATGCCCACTGCACTCATCTGCACATAAACCCCCATAGATAGACACGTTAACCTGCAACGAGGACACCATGGCGATGTGAAAATGACGTCAGCTCACGCTAAGCGAGTGTTTGAAGCTATACGAGGGCGCCTTCTCGTAGCCTTCCCCGTTCTCCTCCCTCTTTTTGCAGAAGAGGAGAGCTTTCTCATGCAGAAACAGGTGTCTCTGCATGGGCTTGAACCTGGCCAGGTCCTTGACCTTTGCGTGACCTTTTTTGTGCTCCGTCCAGACGCTGAAGGAGCCCTGCATCAGCAGACGGCCCAGATCTGACAGGTTGCCCTAGATGAAGAAAAGGCAGCTTTTTAAAGCGACAATCCAAGTGAAAGAAGGCGCTGATGGCCAAACACGGTGGTGGCAGCGTCATGCTGTGCGAATGTCTAACTGCGACTGAAACTTTTCATCCAATTTGACTGAATCAAAATATTTAAACCGTTTTAGAAGAGAAAATGAAAATGCTTGCAGCTGCATTTGCATTAAAATGTAGTTCAGACTCACACTTCATCATCATTTAACATGTTTGTAGCTTGTGTGATTTTATTTATTTTTGTCTTAATTAATGTTTAATTATTCTATTTTGTGTTTCAGATATTTTTCTTTACCCGAGAAAGAGTTGTCACCGTTTTTTATTTATTGTGATGAACAAGTCCACTAATCTTTCTTTCTAAAGCATTGAAATTGGCTTTGTGATATTGTGACCTTATGTTTTATGAAATTCACTTCTTTAGAAATCATTGGAGTTAAATAACTTGTGATTAAAAAAATGTAATGAATAAGCGAGTGAACGTTTTGCAAACCTCATATCCGGTGATGGCGATGAGATGCATGGAGTCGTTGACGGCTTTCAGGATTCCCAAGATGGAGGAGAGCGCTTCCTGTAGGTCGTCGGCACCGTCGCAGCTCTTACTGTACTTCAACAACTCCTGAAGGAGAACAGCAGGCGGTGAGTAGTACGGCTCCATGATTTAAAACTAAAAAAAAATTTAGTTTTAAATCTTTTTTAAAGTCAGCTACTGCTCACTTTTAGCAGTAGCTGGTACTTTGTAATTCTCTGGACGGGTTTGAGGAGGTAGGAGTCCAAACCAAGTTTGTGTTCCAGCTTCTTCTGGCACTCCTGAACCACAAAAACAAAAGTCAGAAGAGACGCTTAAGGCTGCGTTTCTTCCCGGAAGACACGTGAAGAGGAAGGCGTCGAACCTGGAAGAAGGCACAGTCCGAGCATTGTCGCCACAAGCTCTCTGAGCGAGGTTTGTTCTGGCAATAGGCTTCATAGATCTGCAAGTCTTTCATCTGCAGGGAAGCAGCAACAGAATGTGTAACGGGTGCACTTCTTCAGTAAAGTAAGTGTTTCTTTGTTGTGGGTAATTCCAGAAAAAAAAAAAGAGAAACGTAATACCCGTTCTAAAAAGCAGCGGCCTACAAGTTCTGGGCAGTCCGTGTACGCTTCCAGATCCTTCAAGAACGTCCTGGACAGAAAAACGAAACGCCCCGATTATTGAAAAAAAAACACATTAATTTAAGCTTAATCAGATAGAAAAAGCACTGATAAGTGTACCTTTTATGAAACTGATAGATTTCCGGCATGTTCCCAAAGAGAATGTCTTTCTTGCTCTGCAGGTGGCTGGGGATGAGATGAGCCATAGCGGGGTTGTCCATCTCTGCTGCATAACCCTGAGCAGAACATCAGCGAGTCAATGCAGTCATCCGGCGCTTAGCACCGGGCTGCAAGCAAAACGCCGCGCTCACCTCCAGAACGCACAGAAGCTCCTCGACGTACGCCCTCTCTGTCTCCAGCAGCTCGTTCATCACATGCCTGGGAGCCGAGGAAACGAAACAAACAAAGAATTCAGATGGGTCTGAATCAGCCCGGCTGATGGTTATTAAATTATAATTCTGAGGATGACTTACCGACGAAGTACTGCCAGGTTTTCCTCTTCTTCTGAAAGGGAAGCGTGTCTTGTCCCGCCGTTGTGTACAGGAGACTCGCCCTGGAAACGTCGTAAATATTTACAGAAGAAGAAACCTCTGTACATGCAGTGCTTCATACATTTTAGTATATTTTTTCAAATTTACAAGTTTTTTTTTTTTTTTTTTTACCTTTTTACAGAGAGCACTATCTGCTGAGTATCTCCTCTCTTTTCTCTCTGGGTCTGGAAAGCAGATTTGTTTTCACATCTTCAGTACTTTATGCGCATATTGTTGAGCTGCATCCATTCATTCATTGGAGACTTACTGGGAGAGGAGAGCGGAGACTTGACCTCTGGTCTCGGTGCCACTGGCTGGACTGGTCTGGTTTGCTTGGCGGCGAGTTTTTTCAGACTAACTTGTCTCTTCTCAAACATCTCCTTAACAGAACTCTGCTTCTGGAAAACCTTGTCCATGTGGTCCTGATAGAGGAAGAGTCGTCTTTAACACTGCTGCGTATCATGTCTTCATGAACTCTCAGAATGAAATCTTATCCTCTCACCCTGAGTTGAGGATTGAGCACAGCCTCATACTGACAGCAGATGGCGCCGCGGTCTGAGATGGTGTGCAGAGCTGCCGTATCCAGGTAGCGCTCCAGCTCCTGCAGAGCCGCCTCGGCTCCATCCTGAGACTGACAGCGGTCCACCGGTTGGTTAGCCAACAGCAAGATCCCGTCCTCACACCACTGGGACGCCTGCAAGGAAAATGTTTCTCAGCGCTTCATCCAGATCGTCTTATTCCTGGCGTTATTTCAGTAGTGGTACCTTCTCCAGGGCGTGGTGCAGCTCCCGGGCCCTGAGCAGGAGGCTCTTCTTGCTCCGCAGAGTGGAGCCGATCTCCTCGCACATGCCTCTCAGCTCGCCACACTTTGGCCGGATGCTGTCCTCGGCGTAGTGAGAGTTTTCTATCAGACTGTCTCCCTCATTGGCCAGTGACAAGGCGAGGTCCATCAGCTCCTGATAAAACCAAAAACAAACAGTTTTGTTTTAATACCAATAAGTCTGAAATGTTGCTAATCCTTTTTCTTCCATTACTTGGTCATTCACCACTTTGTTTTTCTTAAATGACATAAAATTCTACTAAAGCACATTGGAGTTTGCAGTTAATAATCATGTGTGAATTCTTCTGCAAAGAAATGTAGTAAACACTAAATTCAAATGTGTTGCAAACACCTTGAACTGATTATTTTTATTTTATTTTACTTATACTGGGATCTTACACAAGCCTTCTCCTCGTGGCTACTGAGCTCTCGCAGGACGTGCTCTGCATGGGCGGGGCTTATGCTGACTTCGGAGAAACCCGACAGGCGCTCGAACATCACATCAAGCTGGGGCCGCACCTAAGAAACAAGAAGGCGCTTTATTTATTTAAAAGTTTGCTTCCCACAGTGCGAGGAAGGCATAAAACGAGACTAACTTCACGGAAGTGCTTTTCAAAGTGGCGGAGCTGCAAACACTGCTCCAGCTTGGTGCGATGACGCTCCCAGAAATCATCAAACGCCGTTTGTGTTTCGTCCAACTGACCCAGGAGTCTGAAGCAGATGCAATGAAACGAAGAAGCAGATTTGTGAGAAGCGGTTTCTAGCGAATTATTATTTTTCTGGATGCGTCCACCTCCATTCACGCACCTCTGAACAGTCGCCAAGTTCTCCATTTCATCTTGTGTCATGCTGTAATCAGGGTCTGTCTGCAGAGGCTCATTGATGCAAGCCAGCAGACGCCCTCCTTGAGACAGCGCCACCTTCAGGTCCTCCTAGGAATTGGAAAGGTCATTTTTAGCAAACAAACTGAACATGCAATGTTTTAAAAACCCTCTTATTTAGCCTTGTTAAACAAATGGCTTCACCTTGATTCTACTTTCAAGTAAAACTTAATAAATATTCTTGGTGACATGGAAGCAAAAAAATATGGTTGATGAAAGATGAATGCTTTGTCCTGTGGTCTAAGTTTTCCATTTTAAGATTATTCTATTTTCTCTGCATCATTCACTTTAATTGGTTTTAAGTTAAAGTAAAAAAAAAGAGAGAGAGAGAGAGACGCCTGCCAGATATGTTTGGGAGGAAAGGAAGGAAAAAAAAAAAGAAATGTTTGCATTTCTCGCCATCAACAGTTTGGTGAGATGAAGCTATTCTTGAATTGTGGACAAAGGCTGCACAGAATCATTCCTAGGGCCTCTTATGGCCCTCAGGCCGCACTTTGGACCCCCTCTGAACTAGACCTGACTAGTCGATATTTTAAGAATCTATTTAGAAAATACTCTTTTATCCAATTAGTAAGAGCTGGAAGTCAAGTCAACAACTCCTACAAATTAGTCACACTTATTGTGCAGAAAAAAAAAAATCACATCTTTAAGTCATCAACACCAAAACGCAGAAAACTTTACATCAATTAAGATAACTAGATACTTTTACATAAAACACAAACTGCTTGCCGTAGATTTATGTAAATATAATCCTGTTCAAATATTTATGGAAGAGGGAAGGGGACTGCTGACCTTCATTGTGTCTTTCTGCAGAGTGTGTTTGTGCAGCAGGTCCATGGTGGCCTCTGCATCGTTGGGTAACTCTGTCTCCGCAAGCTCGGTGCCAAACGCCTGCAGGGTCTGCGCCACGGTCTTCACCATGAGGGCGAACGCCTCGATGGCCTGCGTAGAAACACAGACGATTGTTGAAGAAAAACCTGAACTGGAGTCACGAATATGCAGAAAACACACAAAACGTTTGCGTTGATGTACAGTGCGGTGTGAGATCCAGGTGTCATGGCAGTACTCCTGTGTGCCTCCCAGCTCTGTGGTCAGTTGCCTCGGGTCGATGTAAGCGTGGAGCTCGGTCACTGTACTCAGCATCACCACCTGATAAAGACATGCAATCAGAGGAGATTCCAAGGAAGAGAAACAAAAGCATCTGAAATTTAATTATATTTTTTATCTGGTGTTTCTGAGCCGCTCTTTCTAATGTCGCCCTGGGCAACTGCCTGTGTGGTTACATCTAAAACCATCACTGTACACAGGTAATAATGAGAGACAATAAATAAAACTAAGTGGCATTTATTGGTCATGTTGGTACCTTCATTTTGAACTCATCCCTGTTGAACTTGAACAGGAAGTCCGAGAGAGTCCGCTGGAACAGAGTAGTGGGACGCAACACCAGAACCAAGTGCAAGTTCCCTGGAAATGAACCCTGAGTGGGAGAAAAAAGGAACAAAAACATGTTTATTAGCCAGACTCTGGATGTTAGAGAAATTTTCATTTGTCAGATGTTTCCAATTTGGATTTTCCGGGGGTTAAGAATTTTGATTTAAATCGTAGCTTTTCTAATCTGGTAAATTGGGTAATCCTTTGATTTTCGGCACAATTTAATTTCTATCAATTAATGAACCACATTTTGTTTTTGTGGACGCAGTTCCATAGAGAAAAGACACACAGGGCATTTGTATCAAAGAAAAATAAGACGCATAATAAAAAAATTATCCGTCAGTGGAACTAGCACTTTTTAAAAATCAATATTAAGAAATAACTGACCTAAAACAAGCTCTCATATGTTGCTAAAATGTTTCTTGCAAATCAGTTTGGTTTTACTTCAAGGGTATTAATATATTTGCACTTGAAACTAGACAGAAGATTTTGTATTCTTGCAGTGTATTTAACATCAAGTTGCACAATATAATTATATTAACCTACATTTTTCTGATTTTTCCTCTTTATTTTCCTTCATGGGGATTTGAAAAGCTCGTCCAACAGGCCACACTTATCATTGGCAAGAAACATTTGCACTCATGGCACTTCAAATATGATATGCATTCAACCAGTTCATGCATTTATTCTTGAATTAAATACATCCTTATCTTGAGCCCCCTACTTTGCTTTGCATTTTTGCACTTCAGTTCTGCAACTTAACCGTAGCTTTTCTCTAACTGGTTCAAAATACGGCGGAGCCATTCGATAGACAGGACAGAACCCAAGAGGCCACTCAGCTCAAAGACTTTATTGGATGTGGCTTCCTCTGAAACCCCTGAGTGAATTGCTCCTCCCTGTTAGACGGGATAAATCAATGCAGGCTGACATGTACACACACAAACACAGGCGCACACACACAAACATGGCTGGAGGCGAGCTTAGGAAGACACATGATAAGATTATGATATAAAAGGAAAAAAAAAGAAAAGGTATTCCCACAGCTAATCTACGAGATATGATATTGTGAAAAGCTAAAAAAAAAAAACCCCAAAAAAACCTTTAGTTTGCTTTTCCCTTTATTACAGGCTGGAAAATGTAAACCTCTATGTGCTGCTTTTCTTCAAACAGAAACACATCATTAGAAGAAGGTTAATATTTTTAACAAAAAGCCCTCTTGCTTCTAAAAGCAGCTTCACTCCTCCACCAGCAGCAAATGTAGAGCAACATATGTGTATCTGCAAGCCATTAAATTCAATCAACCCTGAGAGGTCCTGGTTTAATTTGTAGCCCTGCATTAGCATGACAATGCGGGAGCTGCTCGGTGCATCCCCCTGACACGCCGACACAGATATATGCTAATGCGCACACGCCTCTCCGGACCCCAAGCTCTCGCGGATGAAAAGCACACATTAATAAATGATACGGATCAGGATGCTGACCGAGTAGATTTATATTCAGCCGGTGAGGAAGGACGGGTGGACAGGGAGGAACCTCTCCTGGCATGTCCTCTAATGACATCCACATGGTCCCACTGGGAGTCCGAGCCGCCTGGATGTTAAACTTCCTCCCTCTGTTTTGGTGTTTAAGACGTGAAAAATGTTCTTTCCATTAGAATAAAGGGACTTAGCTTCAATCCATACATCAAAAGCTGTATTACACCTGCTTTTTTATGTGTTGCAACATATTCACTGTTTGTGCTTGCACCCGCTGACAGAGCCATCTGCCATTCAGCCTGCAGCAACACTCCTGCTTGGTTCAGTGGCTGCGGACGCATTACTCTGACTCCCAAAGGTGGACTGCAACAAAGACAAAACGGTCCCTTTATGCAGCTTTATCCTGTTAGACTGCACTAGTGCCACCGAAATAAAGCAAACGTTGTACATGGGGTTTATTAAAGGAACAAGTTGTAGAAGGAGAAGCAGTCTGCATGTTCCCCATATATTATTATTTAATATAGATGTGTTCAAAGCTTTAGCCTCTTCTTATTTGTAAAAGGTACACAAATTACATTTTAAACATTATTGTTCGTGCTGGAGTTCATAAAATTACTACTAAAAATGAATCCAGATTTTCTAAAAAAATTTTATCAGTATGCATTTTTAGAAATTCTAAATATGAAGGACAATTTTTTCCCCAACACAAACTAATGAAACAACAACTCAAATTTGCAGGGTTGTGGTTAAATACAGGCTTTGGCGTCCACATCACGTCACAAAAACCGACATGCATAAGCAAAATAAAAAGGTTTACCGTTACTCCGTCTACCAAATTCTCATTAAATATGTTTATGAGGTTCAAACACACATTTTTGCTAAAACACAATGGAAAAAGTCACTATATTTCATTAATTCCATCTCCCGGTGTTGAAACAGCAAATTGCAAACCTTGACAAAGAGCACATTTCACAGCGAGCAAGACAAGCTTCACCTTTCAGTAAGAGTGAGCTTCATTGGTCAGGCGTGTCCAACAAAGGACGAACAGATACTGTGTCCTCCCACCACCTGCCGTGAAAGCCTTCAGGTTATAATACAATTCCTGTTCACTGTGAATTTCTTACTCTGCTTCATAAATTAAAAATGAAGCGTCTTCAATGGCTTTGAATACGGATAAATGTAGATTTACACAAAATATATTAAATTTGTTGAAATGAAGCATCTTTTTTCCCCCTTTGATTTCAACTTAAGAGGCTTTTTATTAATTATTTCAGAGTAAAACAAACAAGCCATTAGAAAAAGAGAATGAAGTGATTAACAATTAGAAAAAAAGAGAAGAGAAGAAGGAGGGATGAGGGGAGGAGGGGAAACCCTGCAGAGCAGCTTCTGCTTCCCTGCTGATAAACTCACCAACCACTCAAAACAATGTTATCACACCGAAAGACATAAATCATCCCGGCTTCATCACTTCAATCATCTCCACCTTTTGTTTGTTTCATTTAAAGAGAAGCGACTGAATAAAAATGGCAAGGAAAACAGAAAAAGAGGAAACTATACAAAATATGCTAAACGACACCGGAAAAAAACACTTAGTCTCCATGAAATGTCCTTTAACTTTACAGAAATATGTACAAATATCCTCTGCAAGGTGGATTTTGGTTGGAGGATGAAAATCCCTTTTGCAGCCTGTGCTTCACCAGATGCTTCGTACGCCAGCGGTGAGAGTTCAGTATTGATCTCCTGTTTGCCTCTTTAATAAATCATACTACTGCTAATCAGGTAGTGACATTTGGTCAGGCAATGTGCTCTGAAGGATATTCTCATTAAGTTCAGGATTTTATGATTTGCACTTCAGATCGGGGAGTGTTGTGCTGCTGTTTAGAATATCTTAGCCTACTTCATGTTGTCAGACAGGTTCTATTTGAGTGATTCCCTTAATTTGGTCTCGGTGTGAAAAGTAAAATTAAACTCCAAAAATGTGCTTACACTGCAAAAACACAGTCTCACTAAGTATATTTGGTCTCGTTTCAAGAGGAAATATTTTCATATACATGCAAGTAAATTAAAATGTTTGTTTTAAGTCAAAAGAATGTATGAAAAATGGCCAGATAAACACACAAACCAAACTAATCAGCAGACTGCTTCATTTTTACTGCCATGTTTGCATCTCAAGTGCTCAGATGTTTCTCTACAAGTTTAAGGAGTCTCATAACAGCTTATAGCCACTATGGGAATAGTTTTGCTCAAACAGAGTGATTAGGCTGGATGGTAATTAGTATCCTATTAGCATACATTTGCATAGATTTGCGCAGATTGGTTGGGCAAGCTAATCGGCAGCAGACAGAGTGCGAGCATGCAGACAGCAGATGTGTAAAGTAAGGTGAAGCTTTGTCCTCAAGATGCTAGAGCTGCTAAATAACATCCACGCGTCATACAAGACATTTGCAAGAATCAAAGTTATCTCATGAAAAAGACCTACTTTTTCGAACAGCACTTGAAAATCAAAATAATATAAGCAATTGTCACAATGTGACAATATTTTTTATTGTGTTAAATAGACAAATAAGCTATCCTAGAAGTGTTTATTTTATATTAGGTTGTGCAATTAATTGTAAAACATTATCATTATACTGTGAACATGGACCTGGACCATGAAAGCTTTATTTATTTATGTTTTATAGTGTAAGCAAGAATCTGATCTGTACAAGAGTTTTTACAGTGTAATCAGGCATCTGTTGCGCACAAAAGGCGCAAACAGATCTGGGCAATATAAATTTTTTACAGTACAAAAATGGATCTGGACCCGGTAAGGTTTTATGATCTAATTGGCACACAAAACTTTTTTATTATTATCTTTTTCAGTTTAAACAAGGATGTAGTAATCTGTGAAAAAGGTTTTTATAGTGCAAAGAATGACTGATCTTTTATATAGATTCTTTTGCATTGCTTCTTATGTACATAACCATTTTATTTTATTTTAATCTTCAGTAATAAAGATTTGGTCCATATAAATTCTTACAGTTTAAACAAGCAACGTGTTCAGATCTTTGAGTCTCTTTGAATCTGAAATATAAAACTTTTTCTGGATTGTTTTTCACTGTCGTGTCCATTTAAAAATGATTCAATCTCTCTTCTGCTTGTTCTAGGCAAGATTAAGATAATCTAGAAACAGGCTAAAAGGACACGGACAAAAAAAAAAGTCAAAGGATTTGCCTGATGACAAAAAAAAAAATTAAAAAATCTGTGACTAGCATCCGTTTCTGCTCCAACAGGAGACCGTCTCACATGTTGTGAGACACTCCACCTCCCACTCTGGAATAATACTCTATTTTTAACTTCCCACCTCATTTCAACATCCAGGAAGACGCGGAGAGCTTGCACATGTCCTTTCAACAACGCAGCTCATGAATAAGTCGCAGCACAGAAGCTGTTCGCACTGTAGATTATCCTAAAACATCCATTATTCTCACTGGTGACACACCAAATTATACCCACAGACAGCTGACAGCCCACAGATCGGCGTGAAAACAAGCATTAAATAATGTAAAACCCAACAAACAACGCACTTTCTCCCTCAGTCACAAACAAAACGGGTTGGGGGTCTTACTGCGATGCGAAGCAGGGTGGCTCTGACTGCGGCCCATCGGTCCAGCCGTCTGTCGACGATCAGGATGAAGCCCTCTCCAGACGCTGCGACGCTGCAGGAGAGAGGCACCGTTATCGCAGGGGGAAAAGACACTTTGCTGCATTCGTGTGGCAGCGAGATAAGAAGAGGGTGTGCAGTGTTCAAGCGCAATGTGGGATCAACGAGGGGGGGCTTAAAGATTATTTGGATGCTCGGTGCAGGACGTCTTCCAGTTTTGCAGATTCATGTTGGAGTAATAGTAAGAATAGGTGTGTTGGATGATGGCTGACCACTGCTTTCACGATGATGTCATGACTTTTGAAGATGCACCAAACATGTCAGCTGAGGTCGGAACCGGACGATTTTCCCTCAAGCCACCAAAGCTAAAAAACTTTCTACATTTTTCAGCCTGTAAGCTATGCATTTATGCATTTTCTGACTGAAGATCATTGTTTTTTCTTCCCTCTTCAGAGGTTTATTCCTTAGAAACAAAAAATTGGAAATGCTCAAAACTAGAATCAGTGGCTCAGACTTCAAACAAAATCAGCAATGCACTTTGTATCATTTTTTGAGTTTTTAATGCATGAAGAATATTCTCTTTTATTTGATTGGCAGTTGATCGTAAACTTGCCATCTTGAATTTCAGTCTGTAGCACATTATATTCGTCTCTTGTGTATTTTAGTCCTTCAAACCCAAAATAAGCAGGTCAGGAAAAGCTCAGTCAAGGCAACAACAAATTTCAAGAAAAGCTGTTTTCTCTGTGATATTATAATATAGTTTTTAGAAATCAAATACTGGAAATTGCTAATTTTATCTTGATTGGCTGATGAAAAATATTTTTTATGATTCAGTATATACAGGAGCTGCAGGGCAGTTTATCTCCTTTGAAGCATTCTAATCCATAAAATAAAAACTCTGAAAAAGTCAACCTGATCGGTGCAATAACTTTCAGTGCAACTCATCAGTTTTCTCCCCATTTAAAGGCTCACATAACGTGAATTCAGGAGAGCTAGTTTAATTAGCTCTCGCTTGATTTCTCTCTTTTTTTAGTGTTATTTTTTATGCATTTAGACTTTAACACATTCAGAGAATCGAGATGAAGGTCAAAGCCTCGCGGCCAGCTGCCCGCAGTCATCATTTCTCACCGGCCGTGATTATGAGCAGCCATCCTGATTACCATGGCAACCTTTTGGCACTGCATTAATGCGCTGTTGTGTGAGGAGGGAGAAAATCTGGCCATTCATGCCACAGGCAGAGCCATATGTAGCAGCCTCATTAAGCTAATGTTTCTAAGTGTGTGTGTGACAATGGCACATTTTCGTGAAAGATGCTGTTGAACAACATGACATGCACCGTGACACTTCCAAACACACACGCAACGACGGCGAACAGAGTGTTCTGCCAACATGCAAACGCTGCAGAGCCGAACTCTCCGGCTGTCAGATGATGTACCGAGTGAACGCTGCTGCAGCAAAATCCTCAATCCATCTCTGCTGGTAAAAACATCCAAATCCAGAGAGAAAAGGGGGACGTGGAAAATCCAAATATTTCAGGGTGAGACGAAAGAGATCCTCAATATCCCATGGTGATCATCCAGTCGTCCTTAAAGCTTGCTTGTCCTGAACTCATCCACTGTTTTTTGCTGGGGGGTTTTGTTTTTTTTAGCTGTCTGCAGACGGAGAGAGGTGACCGTTCCCATCCTTGCAGAGCGTCTCCCTCCTCCTCCTCCTCTCTGCTCCTCCAGCAGCCGCCTCAGAGCCTCTACAGCCAATCACGGCCGAGCTCTGCAGCCTCTCATCCAATTGGAGCTCAGAGTGGGAGAGAGGAGAGAGGGAGGGGACTCAGGAGGGTGTGTGCGGTGGATGTTATATATGAAAGGTAATCAGGCATAGACAAAAAATGCATGTACAAGAGTCATGTGATAAATATATGAATTATGTGTGAGAGGGAAAGATGTAGAGGGTTGATTTTGACTTTATTTTATCCAAAAATAACAAATGAGAACTTAAAGCAAATCCCAAATCGTTCTTTCATTACATTTTATCACAAAAAAATGGTGAAAAAAAAGTTTAATAGTGATCTTAATTCCTTATTCTTTTTAAAATAATTAATCTCAGTCTTGTTACCCCTTTTCCTTGTGTTTAGTGTTGCAGCGCCATCTGTAGGCTCCACACGGTATTATAGTATAAGCAGCTGCACTTACCTGGGGACGCTTGTGAGGTAGCGGAGCACACTCTGCAGCTCCTCCTCCGGCAGCTCACCGAACGCCGGGAACTCTGGGAGGAAGATGACGGGGTGGCCGTCGATCCCGCGACCCCCTGGAGACACAGAGGTCATGGAGGAGTCATTATTGACTTCTTAAACCCTCTGTAAGTCCTGGGTATAATGAGATCAAACTGGGTCATCTGTGAACGATTGGTTTCTAGATAAACTGGTTGAAAAAGAATCAAAAAGCAGTCAATTTCTTCACATCACAGAAACCGAGATTAATCAACTCCATCGGGATTTCTACATTGAAGTAGATACAAAATGATGCATTGCTTTCAAAGTCTCTTTTAGATTAAAATCTGAACATTTAGGTTTTTTTTTTGTTGTTTTTTCAGACCCCTTTACTTAGATGCACCAAAATAAAATTGTGTGCAACCAACTTAGCTTTCCTGTTGCGACCACTGTCATGGGTGGTGTGTTCAGGGACCTGTGCAGCGTTCGATTCCCACCAAAGGTGGCCAAAAAGTTCTTCTTCCACAGTCCACTGTATTGTTTCTTTCACAACTCTAAAAGCCAGTTGAAGCATCGACAACACTTTCTTTTTTATAGGCAGAAATTTAATTTCTTAATATAACTCAGATTTTCATTACAAAGGTGGTGTGTTTATACTCAAAAAATAGATATATATCAATATTTAATCCACAGACCAGGCCTTTCCTTTCCTTTCCCTAGAGACTCCGATTACACAGCACATCATCATCACAGTAAATTATTCACCAGGCAGTCGCGATCATCATGGCAACCCAAAACCCCCTTCCCATCTCCCCAAGTGTGTATTTGTGTGTAATTTAGTGTTTGGTGTGGACTGTGATGCTGTGCGCTTCTTATCTGGGTCAACTTGTCATCAGAAACAGAGAAGCCTTAAACTTTTCCTGCAGAGTCTTGTAAAAGACAGCAGCAGCAGCAGAGCTTTTTTCTTCCTTGTTTTCTTCCTTTCCTTCGCACACCAGGAAATGCAATTCAAGAATGATTCAAAATTTACTTGAATTGCCTTACAATTCAAGTAAGGCAGGCGTTAAACAGAAATCTAACTTCAATTCGGACTCAGTGAGGTCAATATTTGCGACCTCACTGACTGAATGTGCTCAAATTGAAGGTAGGATTTCCCCCAGGTTTTGGGGACGTTTTATGATTCTGCACTGGGAGTGAATCAAACCAACCTGGCAGGATGGCGAACTGCTTCTGGAGTTCAGAGCCAATCTGAGCTGCTAACAGAGGACCGTCTTCCTTCTGCAGGATGTCATCTGAAGAAAAAAAAAAAGAGCGAAAACAGAAGAAAAATCAACATGCAGCAAAAGATATCAGGACATTTTAAACCGATATTCAGTCATTTATAGTTAGACACTGAAACCCTTGTTTTTTTGGTGTTATAGAAGAAAATATGCTGTGTATATTTAATTAAAAAAAGGTGACAGTGAGGTGGAAAGAAGATGACACAAACAGCATTTGCATTTCCTATCTTCCTCTCTTTCCTGGTCAAGTTGGATTACCGTAATCTCATTTACCCCGCTCAGACATATAGAGCCAGAGGAAAAAAACCCTCCTCTTTCCATCCCCCATGTGTTTGACCCGGCAGTGCCAACTGTCTACAATCACGTGCGCGGCTGTGAATGAAAACTGAGAGCGTCTCTGAGGGGGTGTGTGCATGCAGACGAAGGCTGGCGCTGACACGGAGCGGGGAGGTTTGCAGGCTCAATGGTGTAGCTGGCAGTGAGCGACGCTAATTACAATCCAAGTACAAACCAAACCAACTGCGCAGAGTCTAAATTGCCCCTTCAGAGCCGACTGTAAGGCCGTTTACAGTTATCACATGCGTCACAATGCTTCACACCCTGGAAACCAGACAAACTGAGGTTGATGTTTCTGCATTCTGGTTCTGTTTCAATGCCGGAGCCTGCTGCAGGCAGGGAGGAAGGCCAAATGTCAGTTTTTAGCTGCAGCAGGAGATTAACACACAAATAAAGCTGACTTTGAAAATTGTTTTAATAATTAACTAACTCAGTTGCATGTTCTTACACAATATTTACATTAAAAGTTTGACTTTACCGCGCAGGACTTCTGCTATTAAATATATTTTATATTCTTCCTGCGAGTATTTGCTGCCATCGCCTGCCATTTCGCCATTTTGCTGCAGCTCAGAGACTTTTCAGTATGAAGCTGTTTGGAAAAGGCCTGGCATACAACCACCAGACGTGAACAGCTGTAGGAGAGGGAGCTGAATACAGCTGCACATCATATTTTTCAGATTATCACAAAAAAAGCTAGAAAATCTCTGTTGTAGTATTAGCAGCACATTCAACTTGTTTTTGTCTTATCTTGAAAATATAAATGTCTTGTCCACATGATGAGGAAGCCAGTCGGATTAAAAGCTTACGTCTGGAGTAATGCTACACATCCATATTTGTCAGCACACGCCGACTAGACAGTGACTCATTCTACATGCTCTAAGTCTATTATGTAGTCCAAACTTTACTCTGACTTAGCAAGAGAAACTGAGGTTTACAACTTTGGTTTCAATCCCCCAAAAAATCCTTGACATCTTTAGATTTCCAACTAATTTTTTGAATTGTATTAGAAAGAAAAGGCCAAGAGAAGATTCTCCAAAGAGGGAAAAACCAAAATGCAGAAAAGAGGGAGTTAAGGAGAAAGTCCAGAGGCAGGTGGATGCTTTAAGCAGATTAGAAATGCGATTTAATGGAGCTTAATGGAGCTGTGACAAGACGCAGGCTTAAGCAGAAACAGTTTCTCCAACATGAAAATCAAAGAGCAAATAGAAAGGATGGGTGTCTTTTCTTTATTTTAGATTTTTTTTATGTTCAGTATCAGAGGACATTTTATATATGAGGCAGCCGGTGGGAGAAAGTGAACTGACACATGAGTGTGTTTCAGTGTGTTGTGTTGAGCTTTCTGCAGCAGCTGTCAGATCCGACCAGGATTCCAACTCTGGACCACAGCCTGACACGTAGCATTAGGCTTTGACTTCAGATATATTTCTATTTGTATGTGTGTGTACTTAGCTCTTCTATTTCGGTCTTTCTCTGGTATATTCACTAATTTTCTCTTTCGCTAATTAATACATTCCTTCTATATTGTCTGCAGATTTCATAAGATTTGATTTATGATGTTTTTTTAAATAATCTATTGAAAAAATCTTAAAGATCTGGAGTTTTTTATATAAAATAAAGATGATTATTGGAAAGAATCTCGACGCTTATGTTAAAACTACTAAAATGTTCAAACTTTTGATATGCTAAATTATTTTTTTCAATTGTTTTCATTGTCAAAAAAAATCTGAACTTACACTTTGCAAAATATTTTGCTGAATTTGTATTATATAGTGATAACTAATCTATCAAATATGTCATTATCTTATCAATTAATATCAGTATTTCTCCAACACTTGGAAGTAAATTTAAAAAAAAAAGTTTTTTACTTGGTGTGGGTGATAACATGCTATACAAATGGGAGGAAACCGATTTGATTAAGCTGAACCAATCTGCATAGCACACACACACACACACACACACACACACACTCCTCCTGTGGTACAGCGGTAAACGGTGCAAATCTATTAGACATTCAGGCGTCGGGCGGCTTTTCAGGGCTGCTGCAACCCAAAAACGCTGCTTTGTCCTCCGTGGCCTGAATGAAATTAAACTACGGGTTGCAAGTGAACCCTTTTACCCACCAAACAACACGCACACACACAGATATAGACACAGAGCAGAAGTGGGCCAATGCTGCCAAACACAAATAGTGATTATGGAGGGGTTAGAAAGAATTTCCCCCCACCAGCATCCTTGCTCCCTTCCCCCAGGCTCTGACACACCCCCACACTTCATTCATCCTTTTTCTCAGACGCTCTGAGCGACGAATTCAACAACTTTCATATTAAAAAGGAACGCTGCACATGCAGGCAACAGTTTATTATTTGGATTCAGCAAGAGAGAGAGAGACATTTCTCTCTCTCTCCAGCTGAGTTTATCGGTGGATTTAGCGAGGTGAAAGGACAGCGAAGAGGTGGTGGGGACATTTAAGGAAGAGAGAGGGTTAAGGTGATCGTGTCTCAATGAGATGAAATGTAGGACAGGGTTTCTTTGAAGGTGTCTACATATTTAATGCCTGGAGGCAGCCGATACATTGGATGTGACCCGTCTGTAGCCATTGGGTCAGAAGAAGCACAACACTCTCCAACAACTGGAACATTTCTTCCATCATTCACCACCCACACTGGAAAACGTTGGCAAACTTGATGGCAATTGGAAGAAAAGCCATTAATAATGCTTTGACTAGACCTTCTGATTTTCTGAAATGAATATATATTTATTTTGGTAATATTCTGATTTTCTGTGACAAAAAGTGACTTTCTGTAGCTGGTTTTAACCCAAAAGTTGTAAAACTCTGAAGTTTAGTCGTGCTTTGCTGTTTCTGGGAGGTGACAACTGCTGCGTGAAAAAAAAAGAGCAAGCAACATCTGTTTCGGCTTCTCCACAAGTATGAGATGTTTCCGGTTAAACGCTTAATTTCAGGCTTTGTTGCAACCTTAAACTAACAACTCTGTGTGTGAATTTCCTTTATTTTGTCATCTAAATTTGTAAAGCAAATCAAACTGTTATGCTGGTATGTAAAGGTGGAAGGAGGGACATTTTTCGGGTGAATCCTGTCAAGACAGATTGGTATTATCCCCATTATTCACACACAGCCTCCTCTTTTGTGTAGAAGTCATGTTCCTGCAGGTTTTTCGCTGCTGAATACGCACACATACACACACACACCGGCGGTTCAAAGACAGCAGCCAGCTGCTCTGCTCTTGTTGACAGCCGGCGGTGCTGGTGGCCGGTCAAAGTTCAAAGCCTAACCGTATGATGTTAGGCTCAAACACACGTAAACTCCCCTGGTTGGGAGTTATGCTCCCAAAAACAACTGAGACTTGCAGCAGGAACTGACCTTAGAAATGTTACGTTAAGTGTTTACGTTCTGCATGTTCAGAAAAACAAAACCAAAGAAAACAAATCAGGGTAGTCTTTCTTTTTTTTTTTTTAAAAGTAAATACAGCACTGTTTTTTCGGAAGCGAATAAAGGTGGATCAGTGCATCCCTAATGGTGTTTTGCTGCAAAATGGACATCTTAAAAGGAGAAATGTTCAGTTATTCATTCAAATATATTAAAAAAATTCAAGTGAAATGAGTACAAAAGTCATTTCACATGCATTTGATGCATATTTCTGTTGCATCAAATGGAAATAGAAATGTGGCCAGCAGGGTGTTTAAAAAAAAAAAAAGAGAGAAGCGACAATCCTCCAGCTTGTCTGCATATATGTTAGCACGTGTGTGTGAGGGATTCCGAGCCATTTTATCTGGCATTACAGTGTGGGTTTACCAAAGCTCCATCTGTCCCCGCTGTGTGCTATCTGAAGCAGTCGGGCCAGCGGCTGACATGCACTCACACACCGGGGCCAAACAACAACTGGGTCACAGGGCCAGAAGCGGCCTGCTATGCACCCAAAGCTCGAATTAGTGTGGCTTAAGACGGGTTGTAAGCGGTCAAACATTAGATTATTACTGATGTTCACAGGATTCCAGGCTCAGCTGGGCTCCTCTTCATGTCCTGAAGCAGCACTAAGAGCAGTTTCATATTTCAATCCTGCAGGAGTTCAACTGTTAAATTTGTATGACTAAGAAAGGCTGAGAAGCCAACGTTGACGCACTCCCTGCCGCAAACAAAAACAAAAGCTTCAGGGTTGCTCGTCTCGGGCGCTGAGCCCCGATTCACTGAATAGATGGTGCCATCATCATCTCGGCCAAACAACGCGCTAACTGTCTACTGTCTGTGCTGCCGTCACAATAGACTCTGGCTCGAGCAAGCTGCATCCAAACCATTTTCAAGAACTGCCGATTGGTGGGCTTTCAATGGTATGATTGACAGCGTAGAGATGGATGATCAGGAGTGAGCAATTAAAGCAGCTTCTGCTTTATGAGGGATGGCTCATTAGCCTCGTCAGTTCTGCTGTGGGAATCAGTCAACTTGTTGTGGCTTGGTAATGAGTCCTTGCTAAACAAAGCAAACTCCATTTTGATCTCATTAGCTGCACACATGAAGCTTCGTTCTGGGCCTGGATTGCATATTAAAATGAAAACATCTCAGAAAAGCCTTATTAGTGATGGAGTTGGGAGCAGAACCATCAGATTTAATTTTGGATCCTTTTTATTTCATACATTAGATGCTTAAGTCAAACCCCACCTTCTCAGTTTGCATTAATTACAAAAAAAGAGAAAATCAGAGTAGCAATGCCGGTCAGAACCCTCAAATACCACATTAAAATTAAAATCCCAGTTTGATTAATCTGACGTGGTATCAGAATGGAATAAAGCACAAGTTTTATTTGCACAAGCAGATTCTAAATACCTCATGTGAACTCCCTCCACCCAGAAGCCACAAACTTCAGTACAAGACATTATAAAACTCCACCTGCCCTCCAGGCAAAAGCACAACCAGCTTGTGATCCCACATGATTATTTATGGCTCAAAGGAATTCCCAAATCACCGGACTACAAAGTGTACATATGCTTGCAGTTCTGTGGGTTTAAGTCTACATCCACTCCTTTCCTCTTTCTCTGCTATTACAGTAATAGCTCCGCTGAGAGCAAAGCCAGCAAATATGACAGCAGCCCTTTTTTAGCTGCCTCCGGCCATAGCTACCAGTCATTACACTACACAGAACAAAGACCATGAAACCTTAGAAAGGGAGCTGGGGGAGGATAAAAAAAATGGAAATGACACACAAAGAGGGTAAGAGGCAGAGAAAGGCAGGGAGAGCAGCTAATCCTGCTGGGCTGTGTTTTTACTTGCCGTGGAGGGAAAAGAATCACTTATTCCACTTACACTGCTGCTCCTTATACACCTGAATGTTACACCTTGAGATCCTCCTAATGTTTGAAAATGGTGGAAATATGAGGAGAAATGTGTTAAAACGCAAACAACTTTCCTCACCTTTCTATTAAACATTGTTTCATTGTGTTGAACTCAAGGTTTTCTAATGCAAACATACAGCAACCTGTATAAATATCAGGATTAGTGTAAAAACCCTTGAAAAAGGAAACATTTTTAATGTTATTACAGGACCATAATTCCACAACTAATTTGAGGAAAGCCCAGCCTATAACTCAGGTACATTTGTTTCACTGTGGAGAAATAAATGCCACTCAGGCATTTATTTTACACGCTTTTTTCTTTGAATGTCTAGACGATACGTGTCTGAGACTTCCTGTTTAAGTAGGGCATAAAACAATGTAAAATAGTGGTCAATTTCTCTTAGATTAGAAATCAGAGAACACCGAGCCACTCAAGCAAAGCAGACGTGTTTTAATCTTCAAATCTCTGGAGATTGATGCCAGATACACACAATCGGAGCCATTTTTAAAGTTTGAAACAACCAAAACTGTGTCAAACGAGGGTGGATGAGGAGTGAAGTTGATCTTTTTTCCTTTAAAATATGTTTGTTAATAATCTGTTTCACTTCCTTGCCAAAATGCAGTTCTGACCAGAATTGGTGTCAGAAAACCAAATACTGATTGGTTTGTTTCATTTTTACTTTATTTTTATTTTTTTTTGGTTTGTTTTCTGGTGATGAAATGCGAAATGCCCTTTAAGGGGAGCCTGGCTAATTCAGTCACAGATGACTGCAGCTCTTTTTTTGCCTGGGCTTAATCCTGGTTAGTGATCTGAACCAAACAAACAAAAACAACAAGATACCTTTTAACCCCAACATAAAACAAATAAAGCCTGTCATGTCACAAATGACTAGGAGTAAAATGAGCCGATTATGATTAGATAGATGTTAAGAGTCATTTGGCTTTTAAATGGATTTGATTTGTTTTAACGTGATACACATGTCTCCTCATTAATAAATCAATTTATTTGATTTGTTGTGCTTCTGTTTCCTCCCTCAGGGACCATGAAAGATTCATCCGGCTTTTCTTTCGCTTTTATTGATTCGCTCCGTTTCCAATCTTGCGTTGCGCTGCAGAATCCAACACAAAACGCAAATTTAACGTTGAATTAGTTCTCCTGAGGCGCAGCTGCACAGCGCAGACAAAGGCAAAGGCAAAGGCTGACACTTTGTCGTTTTAGTCGATATTTCTCACCAGAGCAAATAAAAAGAGCAGAGTAAAACAACACAAAGTCATCCAGTGAGAACAGAAGAGAGAGGAAAGAAAGGGGAGGAGATGTTGACAGTCTAAGGCTTTGGCCCCAACTGACAGGAGGAAACAGTATGAATGTGATTAACATGCTGTCAGCGTGCTGCTCTGAGTACTGTACAGAGGATGGAGTGGGCTCACATGACCCCGCACTTTGCTTCGGCAACACAGCCGCGCGACCCGAGGACAAAATGCACCGTCCGCCTCAGATTGGATTGTGCAAGCTTCAGATGGATAGTGTTTCCTTCGTTCGGAAAAGCACCTTTGTGCAATGAGACAAAATCAATTTTGGAGAACAACGCCGGGTCAGAATGATTCTGTCAGCTTAGGGATGGAAGTGAATTCAGAAATGGTTCTGAGTGGCACTGTTAGATCAAAAAAGAAAGAAAAATAAAGGAGACAATTCATCAGAAAAGTGAACAAAATGGAAATGGGAACTCTGGATGAGCTGTAGAGGTTCCACAGTTCAGGTGGCAGAAGCTCTAATTATTCTGGCACTCCAGAAATTTGACCTCATTTGCAGTTTGTCACAAGTCAGAGTTAATGGAGTTTCCTAGCAGAAAAACTGCTGTAAGTTATAAAAGACTTGAGACTGGAGGTTCACAACCCTAAACAGTCAGAGTTAGAGTGGCCCAGTCAAAGTTCCCAACAAAATCAGCAACAACATCAAACTCTCGATGTGCAGCTTTGATAAAAAAAATGTTCTCCAAAACTTAGCAGAACAAAATCTGGTGCAAATGCATCAAATCCTCATTTGTAAAAATAAATTAAAACCAGGTATCAGTTTTCTTCTACTTATTGTATATCCTGGTTTGAGTTTCACGTAAAATTCTGTGAAAAACCATTGAATTTTGCAGTTGTAGTGAGACAAAAGGAGAAAAAAATGCAAAGCTTTGCAAGACGATTAGGTAACCGGATGCTTCAGGAAGTCAATTTCAAAATGTTTGTCCTGTTTCACCTTCTTTTGAAACAAGACAAAGTCATAAAACATGATGGAGAACCATGGTGATAGCAAACAATGACAGCACCGCCCATTAAAATAATTTCCTTTCTTGTTCATTTTTTAGTCTAATTAGAGTCATAATTTACAAAATGAGAAACACACCAACTTGAAAAGTACATGAAACAAAAACTTCAGCCTACAGTCTGGTAACCTACATATAAAGCCAAGCTCAGCAATTCAGAACAGAATCTGTGGCATTACCTACTTTATAGTTTATTCCAATTTCTAGTTTTTGCACAAACAAAAGAGAAATAAAGGGAATTTCAAAGGAAGGACTTGAAAGTTGAATTTGTTTAGACTCGTAATAAAGACGACACATTTGTGGATTTAAAAAAAATAAAGTTGTTTCTCTGTCTGAACTGAATGCTAAGATGCAGAAAAACCACCTTTTGAATTTCCAGCGTCTCATTAGTCGTCACAAAACCAATATTAACACAACACAGACTCATCCGCCAGCTGTCAGAGGAAACAGACACCAGAACTCTACCTGTTGTCATCTTCAGCTGCAGCCACAGCCTGGTAATTTCATGGCACAGTTGAGATATTCTGTTTAGAGCCATTGTTCTGCATGCCCTCTCATGCACACACACGCACACACACACACACACACAGCTAAAAGAGACTCAAAAGCATCCAAAGTGTCTGTCATCGAACATCCCGGTGGAAGTTAAGGCTGTCCATTCTGCCGCACCCGAGGATTTCAGCTGCTTACTGAGCTGTCACCAAACAGTGGAGCTCTGCACAATCCCCCTTCCACACACAGCTCTCTCTCTCTCTCTCTCACACACACACACACACACACACACACACACACACACACACACACATTTACACACACACACACACACACACACACACACGCTCCCACAGTGTGTGCCAGCAAGGGGAGGAGGAGATTCAAACAGTCCGCCCCTGGTTTCACATAACACACATTTTCCACAGGGAGACCAGACACAACATGGAAATTTGCACAATATAAATTATGCTTCAGTTTCATGCTTTGATTTAGGAGTAAATAGAAAATGTAATCATGATTAGCGTTTTATTATAACTGTTGAAATACATGCTCTGGCTTTATTGTGGCTCAATGACATGGAGTGCTGAAGATTAAGCCCCCAAAAATCAAGTGAAAATTGTAAAGCATACATGCGCAAAAAGAAAGTCTCCCTCTCTCTTTCCTAATCTTAGTCGTGTTTTTCTCCTCCATTCAACGGGACAAACTCTCCCACAAACAAACAATGCCAGTGAAGACAGCAGGGGGACCCGGTCTGCCACACACTGGTGACTGCATGAACGGCCATTCAGAGCTCCAGTTTCAAAGATGCAGCCCTACAGAGACAAAACACATTTTTCAAATGTTTGTTTGCTCGACACCAAGCCCGTTTTCATGCAAACCTATAAGAAAGGCTCTACTTTCTTATACGTCTTTGTGTAAATTAGAAAAAAGACAAACGTTTTTGCAACGTTTTTTCAGGAGACACTTTCAGATTCTGTCGACCGACACAAAGAGGTTAATCTATCTTTACTCATCCTGGACACAAACATTGCCTTTAAGTTCTGTCCAAGATCCTCAAACTGTGCCGATATAACACTGTATTAGATAACATTAGAAAACAATTGACATCATTAAGTCTAGACAAGTCATGAGGTTCATGAGGTCAGTCATGCATATTAAGGCAAGAGGAAAACCGTAAGAAGTCCTGATCAGTTTGTCACCAGGATGCCGCTAACTTGTGGACGACAGCAGTCTGGTCAGATGAGATCAAAACTTCCCTTCTTCCCCAGGATGCAAAGCGCCATGTGAGCACAATTATCTCTACTGTAAAACACGGTGGTGGCAGCACATTACTTCTTAAAAACTAAATGTGCTTATATGTGTTTGCAATTAAAATCACTCATTTCGTGTTGCTAATTTAGAAATATTTACAAGACATTTTGCGATGTTTGCTCTTGCGCAATGTGACTTTTTTGCTACTCGCTGCAACAATAAAAGACTATTACTTAACATCAAGTTAGGCTGAGGCAGCAGTGTAGTGAAGTAAACATACTGCCACCTGTATGTGGGAATTAGTATTACTTACACCCAATGCTTTTGAACATTTTTGTGGAAAATTCGTTTGACATATATGCTTAAGATGTTCAAAGGCGGAAGAAAAATACCCACCGAAGTAAATCTCTGCTCCAATTACCGCGAAAGATTCCTCTGCAAAGTATTGACGCCACACTTTCTGAATTTTTATTGTTGAAAACTATCTTCATAAAGCCTTTTCATTCCATTTCATAATTATGCACAACATTGTGTTGCTTTTGCAGACTCTGTACAATGGGACAGGCCACGCAGTTTATACCAGGTCTTCACATTCCCCTCACAACTTTAGACACACGTCAGAGACATCTTATTATCTTGCACAGAGCTTGTATTCATCTGATGATTATGTCCCTGATCAGGCATATTAAGTCCACATCACAAATAGATTTCTTATATTGAGACCAAGTAGAACAAGTCTAATTTGATTAGGACAAAAATAGCGTATGTTTTTTAATCATCTCAACTTGCTTGTATTGGTATGAATTTTAGGGATCCGTCTGGGTGAAAATAGTAAAAATGAGATTAGGAACAAAGAGATGAAAGACAATGTCAACGAGAATTGCCGTTTGAATTGGTCTAAACGCCTAAATGAATCTCATGTTGAAAATCAAATTATTGCTAAATGAGATTCAGGGGCTTTTTTACATTTATTAAACACGCTAAAAGCTGGTTTGCACTGCAGGCCGTTCAGGGTGTGTGCCCTTATTTCCAGACTTAGGCGACGGAGTAAGTTAGCCATGGGACAAAGGCAACAAATGCTTTTAAAAAAGCATTTCTGTTACCTCTAAACAAGCATTTTTCCCTCATATTTTTTTTCCATCCATCTTCTTCCACTTATTCTACGGTCAGGTAACAGGGCATGCTGATGCTCTCAAATGTTCAAATGACACACCAATATTTCAGCTGTATAAAATAATTCAATAAGAATAGCACAAGAGAAAATTGTACCCAAGTCTGTTTATGTGGGATGTGTAGGAGACTGTGACGGAAAGCTATTTATTGTTCAAAGGATGTGATGCAGACTGCAGGCAGAGCAGCATCCAGGTGAAGTTTTAGTTTTAGAAATCCTCTGTTTTTAAAGAAGAGACGCTGCTGAACTCTTCCGCTTCGCGCTCAAACACTGTCGGCCTGTTGCAGTGTAAACAGGAAGTCACCAATTCAGAAATGACTCACACAGGGCTGAAAAGGAATTGGCAACTAAAGCAGGGAACACGGACAACTCTGCAGAGGTTGGAGCAACACACTTGTTTGGTTTTAAAACCACTTAAACAACTAAACTCTCTCGCTAACTTTATATATCATAGTTTGCAGGTGGCAAGAATTAGGTAAATTTTCTGTATAACGGCGCCCCCTTCAAAGTTCACATTAACTTGACAGAAAGCAGCCTGAAGCCATCAACGCCGCCTCACTTCTACTGCCACTGTGAAAGCCAACTCCTGCCTCCATAAAATACAACACCCAAAAAATCAATATTTAGCCAACAGTTATTGTAATTCTATTTTTATTGTTTTATAATCCAGCGCCGTCTTTGAGGTCCAATATAACCGTGTGGAAAGACCAGTATACGGCCTGCTAGGGTGGAACTTAATAAAGCATATGACCAATATCCTCTTTCAGCATCAAAAGGTGTATGCTGCAGGCTTCTCATTTCAATTATATTCCACTACAGCTGAAAAAAAAAAGCCAGGTCTACGACAAAAGAAAACAAAAGAATAAATAACTATGAGGGAGAAATGCATAAAACTTTGGAGGAAAGTAACTTTTGGTCTAAACTCAGCATTCTTAACCTGAAGAAACATCCAGCAAAAGGATGTTTCTTCAGTTTCTCTGATCAAAAACAGACATACTGTAAAGAGCTTAAGCAACAAGAGTAATTCCAAGAAAAAGAAACTGTTTTTGTAAAATCGTAAGATGACTAGAAAGAGGAAGAATTGCCACAACAAGAAATAACAGACAACTCAGGGAAATACAGAAAAACCCAAAAAACTGCTGACAATTATAAGTCAGGGGACTTTGGTGGTGCCACAAGTTTGTTTTTCTAATATTTCCCACAGTAGTTTTAAAAAAACTACTGCTGACAGTTTCCTAATATATGCATTGTGAGTTCTTAAACCTGAATGTGAAGTTAACCATTTCCAGAGTTTTAGGAACTTTTTAAAGTTTTTATGACTTCTATTCTTAAAAGGGAGCGGTGCTTAATAATCTTTTTTCTTTAGTGAAACACAGTTACCTTCAAGGAAAACACTTGCTGCCACTATTGCTTTTCATCATGAAGGTCTTTAAAGGCAAAGATGCTGGTACAACTTCATCCAAATCAAAACAATTTTGAGTCGTCCAAAAAAACAAAATTCAAGGATCAGTTTTGGGGAAAAAAACTTCAAAAAGTTCAACAAATGGCCAAGCTTTTAAAGACGTGATAGTGATTTTATCAGAGCTTCACTTTGAAGCCAATCAGCTTCAAGGTTCGACATGATGTCATGGATTTGGATATGATCTTCTACCAAGATCCCAACGAGACTTTCTGTCACCCCAAACCAGTCTGTCCATCTTCCTCTGACCAGTAATACCAGCTGCTGTCCACTGGGGATTTCTAACTTTTCAGACCATTCTCTGTAAACCTGACAGGTGCTTGTTCATAAAAATCCCATCAACATAACCTCCTTTTTTGTTCCCTGTACTGATACTCAGTTTGAACTTCAGCCAGCAGTTTTCAGCCCTTCAAGATATTTCAATGTCAAAATTTGATATGTTCCACGACCAGAGCAACTTTAACGAGAAAAACATGATGTAGAGCTGAAACATAGCACTGTCTTTGTCTGTGACACATGAGTTGTTGCTAAAAATAATCCCCACCATGTCTAAATACAGACCAAAGCTCCCAGAAATAGATCAAAATAGCCATGTAGAAACACTGAAAGGTGTCAAGAACCAGAAACCAATCAAGAAAATGCTTTGCACTTCTTACAGAAGTCAAGAGGTTTTGTTCAGTTGCGGACAAATGTGCAATTATTATGTTACTTTTGCAAATACACACACACACCTTCTTACATCTTGCGCAAAGATTTCTGGGAAATGACAACTTTTACTGTCCCACCTTCAGTAAATAAGGATGTTGGACACAAACATTTAAAGTGTTCATATGTCTTATTGTTTCGATTTGAACTCTTCACAGCACTTACGAAGCATCGAACTTCAGGTCATTTTTCAGAAATATAAAAAAAACAACAAAAAAAAAAAAAACAGCTGACCCGAACACTTCGGATAAACTAAAGAGAAGCTCAAATATTTGCTCAGAGAGTGACTTTAGAGTACAAACAATCATGTGAACTACAATGGTCTGTAAACTTTATAAGATGGCTGCTTTTGTTGGCTCATCTGAGGTCATAAAACTGGAAAATAAGAGTGGACATCTTATTAAAATAAGACTCTTAATTGTGCAAATTATTTGCAGGGTGTTAAGAAATCCAGTCATTTCACGCACAATGAAACTGTAAGAAAAGGAACGACCAAAATCCCCCTTATTTGCTTCAGAGATTATCTGGAAAGCAAAAAAATATGACAATCATGTGGCTTACTAAAACAAAGGAAATGAAACATTTCCTGCAAAGT